ACTTCTCCTTTTCTCGGCACACGTGGTATTATACTTGACCCGCGCCTGTCGCCAGGGCCTGCGATAAAACAAAAGGTTCCGGTCTTCGAAAAATACTTTTCTGGCCGCGCGGTCTCGATGGCGTGGTGACAGAGATCTTTGCTTGCTAAAGATTGCTCGAGGCCGTAGCAGTAACCCTTTCAAAGGGCAGCGTGTAATAAAATTCTTGTCAGCTGTCGAATGCCTGTTCATTTTGATTTGAACCCGGGGAAATTGATGATAAATTTAATTGGATCCCTGAGAAGTTCGCAACAGAGTAAAATATATAAAACTAGTTTTATGTATATTTTTCCGTGTGAGATATTTTTATGTACGTATGTTGCTTGGGCAAGTAAAAAAAAAAGGCAATGATATTTTGTAGAGTTTTTTTTTCGTCCCCTATTATAGAATGTTTGAAAGGAAATGGTGGTGTGAGCCGAGAAAATTAGGCTGTCAAACACACGCTATTTGGACGTTGCTTAACAGCGTGCTTTTAAAGATAATGTCTCAAGCTATATAATATCCGCAGAATTAAATATGTTATTTTCTTTTATTGTCTGTTCGCAGGGAAGCCATAGTTTTTTCTCGGATCACACAATGGTGGCAGACAGACACAGTTTGAACGTGTTTCGTACATGTGTTGAACTGTCTAAAACACTACACAATTCTAGCGTGATTTTTAAGTTGTAAAACTTTACAACTTCGCTTATGAAGCGTTACATAGACTATAATGAGATCATGATAGTTCTGTTACATAGACTATAATGAGATCATGATAGTTCTATGCATTTTTTCAGCACTTATGTGGGTTATACACAGTGCATAATAAACAATTTCACACCTTAAATAACTTTACACCCAACGGTACACTCTTTCTTTACCTTTATTTTGAGAAACACATCCTTTTAATAGCAAGAAAAGTTGCGGCGTGAACAACGTTTACATTAAAGGGTATAAATAGGGTGTCCAGACAATTCACGATGTTTAAAAGTGTGCAAGCGAATTTAGATCCTCTTGAAACGGCTTCAAGGAAAGTTGTTTTCACGATAATGTTGAGTGACTATTGCCTTTACTGATTCGTTTAACTTATATATGCAGTTCTTGAACATCGAAATGTTAGGACTTATCTGAAATATTGACGAAAAGAAAGCAACATACCCTAACATAAAAAAAACATACGCGCATTCCACAATAAACACCCACCCCTTTGTTATGTAACATTCGGAAAATACACACAGGGAATATAATTTACTTATTGTTTACCTAAGAAGCACCCATCCCCAAAATCAGATGGACATGTCCAAATTTTGAGTGGGCGCGTGCTTGGGATTTTACGGTATACCTCGTGGCCTCAGGGGGTCACGTGACCGCAGGGGGTCGTGACCATGTGACCTCGCGGTTACGCTGACGCCGCTCAAGCCAGAAACGGGCCCCTAAGAGCTGCGCTCTCTCGTAACATTCGCAATTCCGGAGGCTCAAATGCGAATCATTATCTTTTAATTAGCGAGTGTATAAGGCGATGAAGCAGGCAACAGAATGATGATTTCAGCTACAAGCGTTTCATCATTACCTCTTTATTGCTGATTCCTGTGCACATGCAAGTGTTTGTGGTGCGTGCTGCTTGTACCCTTTTCGCTGGAAAAATATCCTTAAGACGTTGCGAAGATCTCCGATGCCCTATTTCAAACCTGATCGTGAACATCCGTGTAGCAACTTTAAGGTTGTTATAAGAGACGTGCCGATCTACACCCTTAGGGATGTAAAGTGTTTTTGTGTGGTTGCAACTCATATGATGACCTCCAGACGTAAAACTCGCAACAGTCACACAGCAATGAATTGCTTTCGTTAGCTGGCAAAGTTCGTTTTGCCACACGATGAACAGCAGCGGATGCTACAAGCCCTCCCAGTGGTGATGCAAAACTATATATAAATTGACGATCGATACTAATGATGGTTTTTGAAAACTATCAATAGTCTTGCAAAACAATCGATAGTCGCCTATCGATAGTACTATCGATAGTTTTTCGATAGTTGACTATCGATAGTGCTATCGACGGTTTTTTTACTATTGATAGCCAGATTTTTGACGGCTATCGATACTATCTATAGTACTATCGATAGTTTTGCACCACTACCTCCCAGCCAACCCCGTGCCGTGAACGTATCACTCGACTACAAACCCCGCGTGTACCTGAAGGTCACGTGATCCTCGCGCAACAAATGGAATTGGCTTTGGTGACTCGTAGCCTCTTCTGCGGTTCATTGTAACTTGAAACGTAGTATTCGCCAATCAATCCCGCCCGCTCTCCCTCTCGCGGACGAAGGAAGAACCAGAGGGACGGGAACAGGGCGCAGAAAGTGGCAGGGACTGTCGGTCTTGGTGCTGCGTTTACCACATAGTAAACGCAGCACCAAGTCGGCGTGTTTGCGCATTATGAAGTTTTAACGAAAAAAGCGAGTGCGTTATAATAGGAATCGTAGTGTTCCGTTTCGAAACTTTTAAAACTCGACATGCTCATTTTCTTAACGCACGTCAACATCTCCGTCGCACGTGATAAACTCCTGCCCTCACCGCTTTGTATTTGTAGCAAAATAAATTAATTTTAGCACACAAACCAGCCTCAGGAAGCAGCCGCACGGGAAATCCTGGAGAACCTTCCCTCGTCTCTTCTGCTGCCTTGAAACTATACCGCCCCGCCATATGTTGGTAGTAGGGCAACTCGTAGCAGGGCTGTTCGTCCCATAAGGCAATTCGTCATAGGGTGATTCGTCCCTTCAAAAACTCTTCAAAAAAAACAGGAACAAATATTTAAGATCTTGTTTCCAACATTTTTGATTTTATAGCGTTCGGTCGCTTTTGTTAATCAGCTTCAGTGTAGTGACCTCTTAAGAAAGTTAGTCTTGCTTTTTTAGGTTGGTAACCTTTTCAATCCCTTTGGAAGCATAGACTATTCAACTTTCAGGAGCGCGACACAGCTACTGTGCGTGCGCGTCACAGACTTCGGATGTGGACACAAACTGCGCATGCGCGTCACGAAGAAAATGTAGCTCCTCCACGTGCGCGACATGGGCAGACTGCTCATGCACGACAAAGACACAGACTGCGCACGAGCAACACAGTTACAGGCTGTGTATGCGCGACCGAAACGTTTCACGTAACACCCCACAATTGTCTAGCATTGTGCCATCCATTTTTTACCATGAGTGGCTGAGACAGGCACCATATTCTCGTGGACAAGACATAATTAGTCAGTGTCTATTCGAAATGAGTAGAAATCTAATTTCTTGTGTCGATAAAAACATAACAAAATCAGGGAAGGGGATCGCTGCTAATTGTACGCTTTTGGACAAACTATGCTCGATACACAGGAACAAAATAGTACAAAAAACACAAATATTTGTTTATAGCTTGACAAATTGTCATAGTGATGAACTGCCGTAGGACGATTTCCCTACGTGACCAATAGCCCTGCTACCAGTTGACCTGTAACGAATTGTCATTCGACGAAAGATCCTAAAACCGCATGCAAATGGTAGTGCTTGTATTCCTCTCTTTATGTCAGTTCATGCACCTCCCCTTACCTCAAACACTTCATATATTCACAACTACCATCTCAAGTGCCGCTAAAAAAAAAAAAAATAACATTGTCGTTTCTAATAGCCAGGACTGCGGGCCGTTCGTCGAAAGACAGTTTTTAACATTGCAACTAGTTACAGGGCAATTTGTCACATTGTGCGATTCGTCATAGTACAATGCGTCATTGGGTAAACTGGTTCAAAACCGGACGAAGGTGACATGAAACATGTATGAGAAAAATATAAAGTTACGAATACCTCTTTAATATACGCTTACTTTTTGGCTTCGGAGCGATCAGTCGCTTTCGGTTTCTAGATTTTGTGTTCAGCCCTGTTTCGAAAGTTCATGTTGCTTTGTTGCGTTAAAAAGCTTTAAAAACTCTTTGTTGCCCGATTCCTTTTGGTTTTTTTATATGACCAGTTTTTGTATTTTTTTTCTTATTCAAAGACTTTCTGAAGTAGATGTGACTGCTTAGATTCGGCGCTCACTTTCGCCCCTTTAGTTATTTCTAATTTTTATTCTTTATTCTTTTTAAGCCCGCAGCATCTGTATCAGGCATTATCGTAAAGTCAAACAAACGTGAGAAGAACACGAAATGTTTCGACCTTTCTCGCACAACCGATATCAGTAAGCAGAGCATCTCACTCCTTGATGGAATGAAATGCTCTGTCTCAAAAGGAACTCTTACCCAATTCCTTCTTGGTACGGAGCTCACGTATGTTGTGGATTTGATCTTGGCGTTGTGAAATATAATTTTTAGCATTCCATTCAGGGCTTTTTATATATGATACAAAAATGTGACATTAAAAAAAAAAAAAAAAACGTGGCCTGGCTCATGCTTTTTATTTGGAAGCAATATGCTCTATAAATTACAAAAATGAAATAAGCCTAACAGATTTCGGCGATTTTTGTGAAGAATTTTATTCACGACCAATTACTCTATGACGAATCGCTTTATGTGACATATTGCCCCGCTACAAATTTACCTCCTAAGAATTGTCTATTGACAAACAGTCCTACAGAACAGTAGCCCAAGGTACTGTAGACGAACGACTGCTTGCAATGCCTGACTGAAGGCGTCTGCCCGAAATGAACCCTGCTTTGCCGTGAGCGTCTCTGGCGATTCATATTATGACGTCACAATTGGAAACCATAAAGGTTCGTTCACACTCTTGCGACCGAGTAAGACCGAGTGAGACCAGACCGGTTGTTAAGCCCCTCGCGATGTTTTAGGACCAGCTCCGCCGCAGCGCATCCGGTCCTAAGACGTCAAATCGGTCTGGTCTCTCTCGGTCGTACTCGGTCGGATATATGTGAAGCCACGGAAACATCCCGTCGCGAATGAAGGACTCTAATCTCGGCGCCAAATGATGCGTTTGACGCTCGCTGTGTTTTCCCCGTCCAGGTGGCAGGTGGGCGAGTGGAGCCCGTGCGAGCACGTCAACGCCCGCCCCCACCTTCGAAGCCAGTGCCGACCGGACGTCCCGGAGACCGGCCTGGCGCGCCGCAACGTGAGCTGCGTCTTCCAGCCGGCCGTCGGACCGTCGCGAGCGGTGGACTCCGCCGCCTGCCTCCACCTGCCGCAGCCCAGCAGCGAACTGCGCTGCGCCATTCCCTGCCCTCAGGTGCGATTGCTGCGGCTTCTTATGCGGCGCAATCAGAGGGCCGAGAAAGAAAAAGAAATAGCCCAATCATCTGTAGCCAAATCAAAATTCAGGCCGCCACATTGGTTCTTGATTAAAGAACCCACTTGTCTTTTATTGGGCGTTATCATTTTTGTTTTTTTCTCGCTCGAATATTTAATCCGACTCTGAACGAGCGTCTTTTAAACGACGAGGGCTCCATTCAATGGTGAAGAGCTCGGGTTATTGAGGCTATGAGTAAAAAAGAGAAACAAATAAGCGAAGAAAGCTAGTATAGCACGTGTAGCTCTTTAACCCTGCTTGGTTTGCTTGTTTAGTTGTGAGCAGAACGTAAAGGGTGCGAGTGATCTGGTGTATATTAAACATTTTAGTGAAAAACCCGAGACTGAGGTATGGACAGACGATGACAAGGAAGAGAAGGAGAACGTCGCCTTCTCTTCCATGTCATCGTCTGGCATTACCTCAGTCTCGGGTTTTTCACTAAAATGTTTAGTTGTGCTTTCTATGGAGCTTGGGTGGGACCAACACTGTCCTGACTGCACGGTTTTTTGCTGCTGTGTGCTTATTTTTAAGCAAGCTCTTTGCAAAGAGCGTAATGCTTCTTATTTTAGACGCTTGGATACAGGGCCCTCTTGCGGCTTTGTTTTAGTTTTTATATTAGTTTTTACGATTTATTCAAGTATTTGCTTTCTTGAGAAAGTGCACGTAATGCTTCCACGTCTGCTTTTCTGCACCACATGCTATAAGGCAATCATGGCGAGAATTTGAGCTCATACAGCGAAGGACAACGCCCTAAAGGCAATATGGCTCTAAATTTTAATCTGCGCAGTAGCAATACGCATGACGATTCGTTTGTTCATTTTCGCTGCGGAAATCGCGTGTTCAAGCCAACATTTTTGTTTTCGTGCCTTCTCATTCGTTGATCGCGCTCTGCAGATAGTAGTGGTTAGATAACCAGGAATCCTGTGGGAAAATAGATGCTCAGGCATTTTAAAGAGGCAGAAAATATTAAGCGTCTATAAATATTCGTTTTTAAAGATATTTTGAATCATAGATAACAGAACCAGAGAGGACGTAAAAGGTGCTTAAAGAGTTCGTATGGCCAGGCTGACCCGAGACGGAATACGGAAGCCTATGGATTGTATTAAATCCATATAATTCTATTCTTACTGAAAATGTTTGTGGCAGATGTATCGGGTTTGATATACCTAGACCTGTCATGATCTACAAGCTCAACCTTTTATTGATGCAAATTATCTCCACCAATACCACACACTTTCTCCTTTCTTTTTCTCTTTCACATACACAGTACAAATACGATGACTCAATAAACCAAAACGTGATTTGTTTGTCCGGAACTGGCCCATGATTTTCTTTTCTGGCTAACGCACGAAACATGGCGTCAGAAGTGGGTGCGCTTGACACCACCCACAGAAGAAGAAAGCGCCAGCGATTGCAAAACACAAACAGGTATAGAATTTTTGAAGCCGCCGGAGAACCTGCAGCTAAGTGGTGACATAGGAAAAAAAAAACTGGCGCCCCTTCAAGCAGATATCTGAGCTATTTGTAACTTTTTCAACGCCAGACGCGAAGCCACTACCAGAACCCACAAAGGCCGCCCTGCTGCTAAGCGTAGCTGGCAACGACGCGTTGTAAGTGTAAATCATTTTCACCTTCAATTTAGCTGAAATTCAGAAGGGTTATGCCACTGTCATTGGGAAGTTCGAAAAATAATTCGCAGCGCAGTTAAATGAGGTACACGAGAGCTACCTGTTCCGCCGACCTCTGCAAGCGCAAGGCGATCCGGCAGAGCAGTTCATCAGCGACCCAAGGAAGCTAGCGCAGTCATGCAATTTCAGCCTAATGACAGACTCCATGATACGGGACCAAATCGTTTTTAAGACGAAGTCCAAGAAATATTGCTGCTCGACAACAAGCTGATCTTGGCTAAAACCGAACAAGTATGCAAGGCGGCCGAGTTATCTGCTGCGCAGAACGAGCTTTGGGCACGCGGACAGCAGGTTGACGCAATGAAGGCGACTCCGAGAAATGAACCACTGGCAGCACGACACGACGACAGAGGTCTAAACCGACATATTGACCCTTTGAAGATGTGGTCGAGTAACGACGAACCACCTGCAGTGTTCCATTGTCGCAGGTGCGGTCGAACGAAACTGTCCGGCGTTTCGTTCGCCCGGCCATGAAACTGCCCAGCATTCGGACGCACTTGCCGACAATGCGGAAGCCAGAAACATTTCTCGGTACGTTGCAACGGCACCAAGCAATAGCCTAAATCAAAATCAGCGACGAAGAATTCGAGATCCTCGACGTCTCGCTCAGCAGTGCCATGCGCAGTCGAGATTGGACGGCGCAAGCACACGTGGCGAACAGAATGCTCAAGCTCAAGGTGGACACGGAAGCTCAAACCAATCTTTCGCCGTACTGCATGCACCAAAAGTTGCTGCCAAGGATGCAACTGAAGGACAGCAACTCCGTGCTACGTTCATACGATGAAGGGATCATCAAGCGTCTGGATGTTGTCACTCTGAAAGCCGCAATGTCCAGCAGGTCGACTGACATAGACTTCTTTTTCGTGAAAAAAGGACGCCAAGCCAGACTAGGGCTCGGCGCCAGTGAAATACTGCGACTTTTCACAAGCCCGGCTGATACCATGACGGCGAATAGCAGCGATCACGTTGTGAAAGTGTACCCTCAAGTCTTTACCGGCACTTGGTGCCTTCAGCGTCATTACAGGATGGTGTTGCGGGAGTGTAGTTCCTGTTGTGCAGATGACCCGACATGTGCCTCCAAGAGCCACTCCGACGGGAAATAAACCGAATGCTGAAGGCAAGCATGGGTGCCAAGATAGAGGAACCGACGGACCGAGGGGGTTCCTTAACGATTGTGAATAAAAAGGAATGGCGACCCGAGAGTGTGCATGGGCCTGAGAAAAATCAATGAATGCGTGAAACACGAACACTAAGAGATGCCGCGTCGGGAAAATATTGAGGCAGAAATCACGGGAGCTGTTTTCTCTCGCTTGGGAGAAAGTCCATTAAATTTCTGCTAATTAAAGAGACTTCCAGCATCTACCCATTCACAACTCCCTTAGGCCGTTATCGTGTTTTCAGACTACCATTCGAAATCGCTTGTGCTTCAGAAGTTTTTCAAAAGACCTTGACTCACCTATCTGACCCGGTGGATGGAGTACCTGTTTATGTCTATGACATTTTTATATCGCTACAACAAGGCAACAACACGAAGAAAGGCTCAGATTGGTCCTGGAAACATCGCGCAATGCGGGTCTTACTCTTAACTCGAGAAGGTGAAAAGCAGGGTCACCAAAATGTATTTTTGGTTGACGTAATTACCGCAGAAGTCCCACCCCTGTAAGTTCCTTGTTTGACATGCCAGCACCTGCTGGCAAGCTCGGAGTACAGCAAATGCTAGGAATTGTATAAATGACCTCGAAATGTGTTTTACCAGCGCTTCCGGAAAATCACTCAGTTGATTTTTCAGCTGATAAAGAAAGGCACGCGGTTCTAGTGGAGTAAAAATCATCCGAAAGAATGGAACCAGTTTTGCAAGTGCTTCGGCATGCAGCCTTTTTTGGCCTTTTTCGACCCTAGAAGAAAGAGTAAAATAACCGTGGATGCTTTTCAGAACGGCATAGTGTCAGCTCTTATGCAACGTCATGGCGACTTGTGCGAACAAGTTGCTTATGTCTCACATGTACTGAAGAATACTTAAAGAAGGTACTCACAGATTGAAAAAGAAGCAATGGAGGGGTATCTGGATGAGAAGAATTCATCACTTCGTATACGGACGTAAGGTGATTCTTTAAACCTATCACCATCTGCTGATAGGCATTTTGCAGAAAGCAAATGGTGATATGCCGTCACGACTACAGCTTTTTTTTCTTCGCCTGCTCAAGTACGATTTCCAACCGCAGCGCATTCCAGGAAAACAGCTGGCGCTGGTTGAAATGCTCTCGCGGGCTCCAATCACCTGCCTACAGAAGCACGAAGCGAACTAGATTGTGGAAGTGCATGCCATGAGTGTTGTCTCGTCACTCGTCAGCGAGGCGAAACCAGTGCGGGTGTCGAGATAAACAAACAGCGACAGTTATATCAAGAGCGTCATGGAATGCCTCAAAACTAACCGACCTGTCGAGGAACAACTTAAGTCCTTCTTAGAGAGTTGTCAGTGGTGAACGATATGCTGTTTGGAGGTTGCAAAGTCGTGATACCTACAAGCATGCGTCTTGAGATTGTACGCAGGGCACATAAGGCGAAATGAGTGCAAATTACAAGCGAGCCGTATTGTTTTTTGGCCGGGGATGAATAAAGATACTGACAATCTTGTGAGCAAGTGTGAAGGGTGTAGGAAATACGCAGAAAAAGGTCAGCAAATCGTGAAAGAAATGCCTAAAGAAACAAAACGGACGAAAGGATTTCTGACTTGGATTCCTCAGTTACCGGTACAGTCCCTTGAAACACGGCAAAGCACCAGGATAGCTACTTCAACGTCGGCGACTGCGGACACCTTTACCAGACTTCAAAAGAACGCCAAACACGGTTGTGCTTAAACATCAGGAGACACAGCCGATGAGGCGGCATCTTCCACCTTTGCCATGACAACCAATCAGCATCCAGGGCGACACGTAGGCGACGAAGGCCAAGGTAGTAAAGAGGACGCGCCTTAGGTTTTATCAGGTCGTTAGAGAACACGGCAACTTTCTAAGACGTGAGCGCTCACATTTGGTGGAGACAAAATAACTTTTGAATGGTTACGATGAGTACTCGGCGAATAAGGCGAGCTTCAACGATGGTGCATCAGAACAACTTCAACCACCAGCATGTAGTTCGACTACGACAACACAATGTTAAGAAGATCCTCACGCAACCCAAGACCCGGCATCGACTAGGCTACGACCAGAATTTTTTTCAGAGCCTATGACACACTTCTCTTAAGGCGTATAGTCTAATGGTCCAGCCGTCAGACTTTCATTGTGTATATCATGCTTGCTTTTAATTTCGTTTAAGAAAGGAAGACGTGTCGTGTTTTATAAATGTACCTGCCAACGTGTTATCGTTGCCCATGCTCTGTACCAACTCCTCACTCTTTCCCTCTTCTTTCTCTCTACAATATACAGAGTATAAATACGACTCAATAAACGGAAGGGTGATTTGTTTATCGGGAACTTGCCCATGAGTATTTTTCCTAGCTAACGCACGAAATACCTAATTTTGAAATCCCCCTACTGCCTTCTCACTCAAAAAACTGGCGACAACTGTTAGCGTTATACATTTTTTGATCAAAATATCAAGATAAAATTGCCTTATATACATTAGACGAAACTTCCCCCCTGTCAGGTCGCTTTTTGGTAAGCACTTCTTAGTTTAAAGCAGCCAAAAAGCGCCTATATTATTCATCTTGAAATGAAATCAATAACCTGTACTACAAAACAAAAAATAAAAACTGACAAGAAATGAACGTACCAAAGTGAAAAAAAAAAAACTGGTTAAAAATAACAAAAAGGTGTTCCAAAGTTTAGCGAGAAAAACAGAAATTCGGCGAGAGAGGTTACATTTAATTTCCGGGCCAGTTCCCAGCCCGCTTCCGCCTGGTGAAACTTAATGTAGGCATGTCACGCTTCATTTCCCCGCTCCCGCATGCACCAAGAGCTTGATTATGCCAGCGTGCATAATGCGGTCGGTGACACCCGCAGCGGCCGCTTTTACTCTCATTATACGAAATCGCGCTAACATCAGCGAAGTGGCTGGAGCGAAGGCCGGCTCCTTGCGTGGTTGAGGCACCGCTCAGGCCGCGCTCAAGCATGAGAGTACGTGAGAGCGTACGGCAAACGCCTAGGAACCCTCTCGACGAGGTTGGCAAGGCAACGTGGCTCGGCGGATTGACAGGCCTCTCAACGTCCCGTCTCTGTTTGCTAAAGCTGTGCTCCCACTTCAGCGACTGCCGACGAGCGAAACGCACCAACCTCATTGAGCGACCAACGTAATCGAAAGACATCCCGCACGTTTGCCTCAGTATGCCATTCCAGCTGGTTGGCACACCACTAACGCGCGAAGGAGAGGCATCTCTTTTAGTAAGACTGATTTCGACCACAAAACAAACGAACATTCTCAGAAAAAAAAAAAAAAACGAACGGCACCGGAGCGTACATAAAAACCATCGTTATTCGTTGTTTATTATGCGATAATGCCGCCAGAGGCCTAGAGTGCTTTGACGTTGTTGTTTTCGCCATTTTCTAATTCTGCAGCAGCTCGCATGAGAGCAGGTATGACGTTTTAATAATGGACAATTGGATGGCGCTGGAATCATTGAATCATGGGCTGATCGCCATCATAGCCGTGTGCGTTGGGCATTAAAGCGTATGCCGGCAGCGATCTGACAAAAGTGAGCAAGCGAGAAGGCAAGGGCAGAGTACGAGCAGAAGGGGAAGGTCTGCCGCTGATTGATCTTGGTTGGCCGGACTTTCCTAGGCAGACAAAACACAGGACTCTGTCTTCCGTTGACTGTCGGGTAGCATTTGCTGGTCATGCTTATTGAAGTTTTTGACTTAAAATGATGGGTACAGTGCCTTCATGCGCGCTTTGCTTAGGTTGATGACGTCTGACCTTTTTGTTCCAATCGCATTTTTTCTTTCTGTTCCGGAGTGCGTGAAACAGTGTCTCCATGCGCGCACTCTCTTGGCGTTGGCCGTGCTACGGCGGCATCTTGTTTCTGGCTATTTATTTTTATTTTATCTCTTAGTGCATGTTGTCGGCATCTGGTACTACAAAGGAGCATCATCAGCCCTGGTACTACAAAGAATGTCGTCACTCTAAACGAAAGAGCATTGAGGCACCCTAGTTCCAGTAACGTGATAATTTATTGTGCCATCTAGAGAAACTTCTAGTTGTCTTTCTGACGTAAATGTTTATTTTGTTGCATGTACGTATTTTTATGAGAAAAACTTAGTACGAATTTCTTACGCACAACCCCCCCCCCCCCCAAAAAAAAAAGAGAGAACATTTTGGGGTACTGAGCGATTAACCTGCGCATTAAACTTGAACACTTGGGGGTTCATACATATGGCCCCGTCAAATCGTGGCATTTGGCCGGGGCCCATTAACTGGATATATTTTCTTTCTTTTTTATAAGTTGCGAAATAAAGGCAATTAATCACGGAATCGGACTTTCCGTTCAAACATTATGCTCAATTTAACTTTCACATATAAAGTGGTTGAGGTTTTTATCTGCTTATTTTCTTCTTTTTTTCGTCCTTTTTTTTTGTGCAACAATTACTTATTTTAAATTTACACCGTTTCGTTTTTTTTTTTTATCTTAAGGCGAAATATTGCCGGGTACCACAACTAACAGTGTTTAAATTGTTGACTATTGCGCGTGACTGATACCAGGTCAACTGTGATTCAATTTTTCCCGTTGGAATCTGTAATTAGATAAGGAATCTTCAAACTAAAAGGTGAAAAGCGTAAAACGTAAACTTTTAGCTGGAAAAGGGAGAAATTTTAGCTCGGTTTTTCGAGTTGGACATGATTTCTGTCAGAGCAAGACGGAGGCACCGGGGAGAGAGGGTGGGCGTAACAGTAGTCAGAAAAATGTCACTCATGACCAACCAGCGAGAATTTCTCTGTCCACCTGCTTCTTCGCCTTTACCTCCTCTCCCCTTCTCTCGTTCCATTGATTGGTTGCGCCCAGAGGTTTTGTCTTGCACACATTCCAGTGCCCCATCCGTGTCCTCCCGTCAAAAACGGTACGAAGCGGAACGCATGGGGAAAGCTTTTCGCTACCGCTTTCCGCTTTCCGCTGCACGCTTACCGCTTTCCGTTGCACGCTTGCCGCTTTCCGTTTTTGGTTTGGAGACCCCTTTAAACGGACGGTATAAGGGTTCTCGTCCAAGTAAACCGCTTCACGAAGGCGATGGAATTTCCTGAATATTGGAAACAAACTGCACCCTTTGCACCTGCAGGATTGTGTGGTGAGCCCGTTCGAGGCCTGGCCGCCGTGCCACGCTATCTGCCAAAACCACACAGTGAGCCGACGGAGGACGGTGTTAGTGGGCCCCTTGAACGGGGGAAACGACTGCCCGGCGCTGTCCGAGACCATGAGCTGCCCTCCGCGGCAAGGCTGCCGGAGCTGGCACAAACGCAAGTCTAGGAGGAAAGCGCCGGGGGACAAAGTGTTTGTGCTCAGTGTCGGGCCATGGAGTGAGTGCCAAAGTGACGAGGCGCCGCAGGAGAGTGACTCCGAGACGCCCACTGCCTTCAGACAGCCGGTCGTCGGGGTCAGGCGGCGCAAAGTGACCTGTCTGGACCATACGGGTGTCGCAGTGGATGTGCTGTAAGTTCCGTTCTGGCGGTAAAAAAAGGGCGATGTCGCGACAACGGGTAGAAGACGAAGGGAGCGTGGGAGACGGGCAACCTAGATTTAAATAAACCGCCCTGGACACGACATGTTAATCAGTTGGATGTCTTTAATACTGCGATAGATTACTGTTTATTAGGGAGCGCGCCAGTATTGCATACAATTTTGTACGAAAGGCTTGCACCTCTTTCGTAAAAAAATCTATGCAATAGTTTCTTCAGACATCGTATGAGGTACGAAAACCAACTTGCCCCTTAAAAATTGTGTTCTTTTTTTTTCTGACGGGTTGAGGCAATGTTATTAGCTTAACTAAGATAAGAAACTGCCCATAGACGCCACTTCTACAAACAATACCCCCTTTCTCCGCATGGTTCGTAGCACGTCGTTCGACGGCTGCTATGGTAATTACAGTTACAAAGTTTAAAGGTACAGCGTCTAGATGGCGCTCCACTGTAGCGTCTTCGAAGAATACCGTTATGAGACTCCGCCCCTAGGAGGCGCTTTAGAAGAGAGCAGAAGTACCCCTAGAAGGAGAAGAGAGGAGAGGTACCCACCTCCTGCCCCATCGCGGGAGTTTGACAGCTGCTTTTGAGTAATAACGTTGAGCCGAGATAAATGATTCCCAATCTGGGATGCTCTCCGTTAGCTGGATAAGCTCCCATAAACCTTCCAGCACTGATATCCGCATTTATGAGCGAACACACATCGAGATAATGCGGGAATATTGCAATTTGAAGGCTACATCTGTTTGGCCTTGATCTGCTTTGTTCCTACCATTGCTCCCACATATTTGTTGCAGTCAATGAATGTACAAAATGTGCACAGCAAATTGAATTTCTAAAGATGTGCCACAAAATAAATACCGCGTTCCTCGATCTGTAGAATCAAGGCAACAACTAAACAAAACCTGACAATAACAACGCTTTTATTGTCTTTGTTTATACCCTTTTTTAGCTGCATGTAAGCATATTAAAACCAACTCAAAATAAAAACAAAGTACGTGTTACTTTGAAAGGTAGGCTCCTTGAAGCAAGTTTTATTGTCCTAACAGGGTCCCAAATAAATCTGTTGCACTTTTGCAACAAAAAGAGTAAAAAAAAAAAAACAAAAAAAAAAAAAAACAGAAAATGGGTAAATCGGTTTTGCGTTCACCTACACATTCGAAGGCTCCTGCATGTATTCTTCACACAATGTGCTCAAAGAGCATTAACGTCTTCAATCAGTAATTCAACGGAAAAAAAAAATAAAAAAAGCTCTGTGTCTTGCTTTTATAGCCATGGCGACCTTAAAGGCATTCATCCTCTTTCCACTGAGATCACATGGTCATTGAAGAGTGATACTGATGACCGCTCTTATTGCTTGTACTAGTTAAAGCCAGGCCAATAAAATAGTACGATACATTTTTAATGACCTTGCTAGTCTATGGTACATTCACTGACAGCTGAGATTCCGTACGGAGCTTTGAAATGAGTGCAATTAAAGAGTATATCTCATAAACAAGTACTCTGATTATGTTAGATTTGCTAAATGGCTGGAAGGAGACGGGTGCCTTTAATGTTTTATTAAAAATCCTGTACACACAGGCTCCGCGATCCCCTTCGAACCCTGATGAGTGGTCTTTCCTCCATCAGTGCAGCCAATCACTGCGACTCCCCAAATGTCTTTTATAGACCTTTTCATCCTCAGTCGCATGGGCGCTGCCATCTTATGATCTCGTCACGCGGCCGCCATTAGGTTGCTTACACTCGCCGCTCTGCTCTCCCCTCCACGCCTTGGCGGATGCGTTGTATTAGTGTTTTTCGTCGCATTTCGCCGTGCTTTCTCGCCTTACTCTGTAAAGTATAGTTTGATACTTATATCTACTGCCTAATAGCATACATCATGATGTGCACACCTTCTACCCTTTGTTTTGAGTACGATTTCATTATATTTAACTTCGGCGTACCGAATGAGTGAAGATGAGGCACAACAATCAGCGTATGCACTGATCCACACTGATTATGTAAATGACTAAGACATCAGGAGGGTTCAAATGTCAATTACTTATGATAGCTCAGGTTAGTTTACTAACAGTGGTGGAACATTTTCATTTAGAAGCCCGTATATTTATGATTTAGGATTGGAAGGAATCAAGTATAGTCAGCGTGAGGAGACTTTGGGTTTCTGAAAACATACTTTTTTTTATTCATAAGAGATAAAAAACAGTTTCTGTTGATTATTTGAGGGACCTCGTGGAGATAGGCAAGGAACGTTTCACTTGCATTGTATTTGATGCTAAATATAATGGTACGTCAACATCAGACGATTTTTTTTGTTCACATTATCATCCGTATATGTGTATGACGTTCTCAATAGTGTTTGCGATATAAGCTTTCGATTGGTCGATTTAGTTATGAATTTTAGGAAACTGTATACCATGCTCGGTGCCATTTCGACAGTCGTTCAAATTATTTATTGATTGTCCTTAGATAACAACTTCAATTCACTTCATTTATTTTAACACTAGCTTAGGACTTCCCAGGTAAGAAACTCCCACAGAAAGCTTAAGAATACCGAGTTTTAGAATAGCGGACGCACAATATTTTGGTTACGCAAAAAATTAGCGTCGTCTTTATGCGATAATTCAAAACGCAGTTTGAGCTCGGCGCATGCGCAGTAGTTGACGACGCTTTCTTTTTTTTTTTGCGCACGCAAAAACAAAATTGCATATATGCTGTCTTCGTTTTCGTTAGTGCCTGGAGTCCGCAATCTTGGACGCCGAAAGAAAGCCGTCTGCCTACAAAACTCCCGAGTCTAGCTTTGTTGATGGAGAATCGAGGTTTATTTTTGTTGCTGGTACTCTAAATTCACGAAGCGCATCTATTGAAACCAATAAAGATCTGTTTATACAGATCCACGATGTGGCGCCTAGTGTTCGACTTTAGTCAAACTTTCCGATGTACTTCTCCTGCGCCCTTCACTTTTACTTGGACAATTTTACAGATGTCAGACTTAATGTGATGGGCCTGTCATTTATATCATATCTTGTGTACGCCGTACGAAAATGTCCATATAAATATAGTTTATTTCCTAGGGTCAATATGGTGAAATGCTGCTATGGGTTCTTTTACAAGGCTGATAATTAAAGAAACTTCCTACTCGCCCTGGGTCGCACTCTTAAAATATTTCTCGAGTACTCTTTTTTTTCTTTTTAATGAAACAGGCCGAGAAAATGTAACCTCTTTTTTATAACTTCTCTTTGCATCATTCTACAAGACGTTTTAGCCTGCAAAATTCACTTTAAATTGGTTCTCTACGAAAACAAAACAGTCAGCAGTAAACTTGCGAGTTCATCTGTTCTTACCGATTCAGCACATTGCTAATCTAGCTGTCAACCTGCTTCTTCAAAATTAACCTATTAGTCTTGTCATTGGTTTATTTTTCTAGAAACTAACATCAGTACGGCCGTGGACGATGGTAATCCTGCCTGCACATCAGTTCAGTCGTTTCGCCGCTGGCTATAAACAAAATCATCAAAAATGTCCGTAAAAAAAAAATCGCAATTTAGGCTTGAAATTACTTCTATGTAATACGGGGGGAACATTTGTGTCACAAAATTAAGCACAAACTAAAAACAAAAACAAAAGACAGCAGCACAGCCACGTACACGTTGAACCGAAACCAACCACATTGAAGCAACCTAACGGCAGCGACTACGTCAGCACCCTCTATCTGCCGGTCAGACAACTACTGAGATAAAAAGGGTCTATATTCCAAGTGGCAAGAAAGTGTCCCGCCGTACGCCAAAGCCATAACGATTCTTTCAGCGTGATACTAATTACCCGTGTGCTTAATTAGACTAATTGATGATTGGTGTACGAATTCATTGTCAGAAAAAATCAAAGACGCTTACAAATCTCTGTCATGCGAAATTAGAGCGCAGCTCTTGAGAAGGAGAAGGGGAGTTACGGTGGTAAGGGTATGCCCCTCCTCGTTCCCCTCCTCTCCCCTAACTCCTTCTTTCTTCCCGCTAAATTTAGCGGCGAAATTTAATTTAGCCTGAAAATTCTCCCGCTAAATTTAGCGGGACCCCGCTAAATTTAGCGAGTTAAGTATCCCCGCTAAATTTAGCGGGGAAAATAATTTAGCGTGAAAATTTACCCGCTAAATTTAGCGGGAAAATTTCCCTGCTAAATTTAGCGGGGAAATTGACGTCACGTGACCTCAACATCAGTTCCGTTGCCCTGCTAAATTTAGCGGGGAAACATAACCCACTAAATTTCGCGGGGCTGTTACGTCGACGGCAACGCCGACGCCGCGAAACCCGGAAGCGGGCGCCAAAGAGCTGCGCTCTAAAAAATGTGCCAGCTGAAGCTTCTGAGACATTAATTCTGGGCTTCGACACCGACACGCCTCATTCCACGCCCCTCTGCGCAGAAAGTGTAGACGGGACGAAAACATGCGTGCCCTGCCCACGGACGAAGAGGGCTGTGTGGTGCCGGTGAACTGCCAGGTGTCGCCGTGGTCCCAGTGGCACGTGGAACGCGAGGGCTGCCTCCTCGACTCAGGAGACCTGTCTCCGTCGGGTCCCAGGCGACAGCGGCGCTTCCGCACCATTCAGCAGCTGCCTTTGGGCGGTGCAAGTCCCTGCCCGCCGCTCGTCGAAACCGCCTTACAATCGCAGCACCTCCCTCTCTGCTCCAGGTGACCTCACAGCCCGGTCGGGGGACAATGAAAGCAGAAGCGGACGGCCGCTTGATCGCCATTAAAAAGGCTGACCTTAATCCTCAATGTACTGCACGTCCCGAATAGCGGCCATAGGTAGCCCTATGGTTTGAACACCGGTGTCTTCGCTGCGTTTCCATAGGAGTTAGGCCATTTTTGTTTTTTACTCTTTCCTGGTGTAAGTTTGTTCTTTGCGAATTTTACAGATAAAATGCACCACCTATGGCCAACGCTGTACAAAAGCGGAACGCGATAGGCTAAGAAACCGATTTTTTGCGGTTGATTTAAATAGCCTGGTCGCTATTTGGGACAGGGGGTAGAATGCAGAGGGGGCGAAGTGAGGCAGAAGGAAAAGTGCTGGGCTTCTATTCATTTCAACCTAAAAGGACAGATTTTTCTCAAACCCCTCGTCCTGAACTTCAGTGCCTTTCTCCCACACTTTAAAACAATCGGGAAAATATATAGCGAACCAAAACATACTGGATTCAGTTGCATATATTAAAAAAAAAATATATTCTGTGCTCGCTTTTATGTTGTCCAAATGTATTTAGAGATCTAACCTCAGAAAGCGCGCGAAAACGTACTTTGAAAAAAGGAGAGCGTTATCACAGTATGTTAATTCTGATAAAATTGCGTCTGCGACACCAACTATGCACGTTCCCACACAAACGGAACACGAGTCTTTTAAGACAAAATAATGTGACGGCAGAACTGGACCTAGAAAACAGAACTGTCCCGGCCAAAGCGTTTGGACATCTGGCAACCTTACCACTAATTGAACAAACGACGATAACTGCTTTAAATATTGACTTCGCGTCTACTTTCTCGCAGAGGGTGGCAAAAAACTGCGATCTACGAAGCATATCCAGCGAATTTCAAAGCCCAAGGGCTTGAAAAAAAAATGCGCGAGGACAATCTGCACGGACCTTCCGTTGCTACGCGTTCCTAAGTGAAACTGCTCATGGACTGCCGTTACTAGCCCCTCGAATCTCGAATGCTCTGCGGTAAAGTGGCATGCCGGCGGCGTGATATAGACATTGACAACGGATAAAAATGTCAGCGTTGGGCTCTCAGTGGTGGTGCCCGTTTCATTATCATTAGATTCCACTCCTCAGTACCGATTGGTTCGAGCACTTTACTATGCTGTTGCTGCTGATGAGGAGGGTGTTTCGTTGCCACCACCCAATCGTGGGCCATAATAAAATGGTAGTGGCATCCGCAGAGTTCCTACGCTATTTTTAAACCATGTTTCCGAGTGGTTGTTTTTGTCAGTTCTGGGTAGATTTATCACTATTAGCTCATGTGGTCCAGACTTACTCAGCAATTTCTACACTAATAACTCTAGGAGCTCAGTTTCCCTCATATTTTTCGATGAAACATGAATATTGCCTAAATATGTAATTTTTTTTATTTGATGCTGGTATTTGTTTCTGTTTACTTTACTTGGCAAGGTGTGGGGTGGATGACACAAATTATGAATACATAATAAATTGGACATGTACGTTGATATTCCAATTGGTTTCGTTTTGTAGCTTTGACTGGATTGCATCAGAGTGGAGCGCCTGCGTTCCTGAAGGAAGTAATTTATGCAATGGAGGAGTTCGACAACGTAACGTTACCTGCATCAGGACCAATGGTAAGACCTATTAAAGAATTGGAGTAACTGAGAACTAATTTCTCAATGACTGTAATCGCAAAAAAAAAAAAAAGAAGAAAACTGGCCGGGATAAACGAATATACGTCTTTAAGTCGACTTTTCGACAGAACACGCAGACATGCAATCGCGACGTACACTACGAGGCTCCGTAGAACCTCACAACACGATTATATCTACAAAATGCTAAGTTAGCAAAGACAACGAGCAAGTGAAAAGTCATGCTGGCGGTCCTCGCGCCCATGTTATTTTTGGTCTAATCATATTCTGAGTTTAGTCATTCCCTGGCATCCTTCTATTGTTCGCCGTCAATTGGCGGTCTCTGTGTTTTACCGGACATCAAACCCGGAAATGCAGATAGAAGCCACTCAATCTGCAGAAAGCCGTCCTTGCTGAACACCGGAGTAAGCAGATTTTAGACACCAGTGATACCACCAATTATATGCAATAAACTGAGCAAATTGATTGTATATAATCTACAGGCACGAGGCGCTTTTAGAATTGTGAAATCAATATTTGATTACCCAAAATTTTGACTAGCACTAAAGGCAGTTGGTGGCGTCAATGTCGACGTGACAGGGAGGGTGAAAATGTAGCTCAAGAATGACAACAGGAAGCTCCGTGGACTTCTTATAAACAAGCTCCACGGTCTAGAGAGTAGTATAGGCCGCAGAAAGATAACACTCGCGATTATAATTGAACTTTTCATAAGACTAATCAAACGATAAACAAGCACAGTTGTACTCTGGCGCAGGCATGTGGAACATTCATACAACGAAGATAATTCAACGTTCACATTTCTTTTTAAATTAAAAATAAATTATTGGGAGGACCCTTTGTATCAAGAAAATAAATATATGTAACCGTGCCTCGCCAAAGGAAAACTTAAATATCGAGGTCCATCGAGGCTCCGAGTGGTGTTCATGCTGCGTAAGTCTCGATCGCTTTTTTTCTACCTTATCGCAGACAGTCGGCCCGTCGCGGGTCACCTGTGTGAGATGCAGCCTCGCCCTCCGCTCCTCGAGGAGTGCACAGTGCCTTGCCCCGTGGACTGCCTGGTGTCCGAGTGGTCGCCCTGGGGCCAGTGTTTGCCCCTTATCCGTGGCGCGCCTTTCCCCGCACCCGAAGAAGGTACCGCCTTGCAAGCACAAGTTTTTTTTCCTCTAGAAAACTGTTTGCACAAAGCGATCAGAACTAGTTTTACGTATCATCGAGTGCATACTGCTCCGCGCTGAAATTCGGCCTCTAATCCCTGCTCTTTCAAGAAAGAACAGGGGTTAAAGGCTCTCTGGTCTCTCTGGTCGTCACAACAAAACCTCCTTCCTTGTCCAATATTAGAAGATTTAAATTTTTTTCTCGAAAGTGATTGACTTTACGAGTGAAATGTGTCTTCCTGTCGCTTTGAGGGCCAGCTTTTAGTAATATTTCCATACAGTCAGAAGTGAAAGTGAAAAGTGAAAAAGGCAATCGGTGGCATGTTTCAATGATCATGTAGCCTCTGTGGCATAAACTGTGGATGCATGTATGCCCCCGTGACGCAATTACAACTAAAGCATAATAACAAGCACTTTTTTTAATGCCAAATTAAAAAAAAAAATGATTGCTGTTGGAAGTGCATCGCGATGCAGTGTCTGATCAGGAAGGCGCTTATAACAGTGTGCAACGGATATGATGTTTGCATTGATCGGAGACAGCCGCCCCCAGTACCATGTCTTCTCGAATCTTTATTTTTTATTTTTTGTGTATATGCTTATTGATGTAAACTGAGCACCAATTATTGTTAATCTTGCGCTCAGGTTGACTAGCTAACAAGGCGTTTAGTAGATTGCTTTTGCGTTCCGTTAATCAAAATAATGTATTCACAAAGACATCCGCGGAGCATTGGGTATCGTTATTGAAATACGGACGTGAACTACTAATACTCGGTAATAGTGGAAATAGTGGCATATAAAGGGAGTCTACCCGTCACCAGATATACTTTTTATAACTTAAGTCCTATCGCAGCCACCCTTATGTGTCCAGGGGCCAATCAAGCATCCATGACAACGCATCGTCATGGCGGTCGTCATTTTTATGTGCGTGCTTAGCTACTTGCTTATCCAACCAAGCGCTGAGTGCGCCTTACAGCGCACTCAGGGCGCCTTGCAGCGCTCTGACATAAGGTGAAACGAAGTAACGATACTTCTAGGGCCTGTTCACGTACCTACCACATTAAGTATTCAAAATTATCTGATAAAGGAAGCACCGCAGTTTAGTTTCTCTCGCTAACACAAGGGTTAACAAGTTAGCGCAGCCTGTAATCAGCGTTGTCCCGGCAACTTGTGTGAGGTCTTGTATAGCGTTGATGTTTGTTTGCTGCACATTTCCACTAAAATTGCGCGACCATGTAAGCATAAGGCACCTCAAACTTCTTGACTGAGTAACGTACGGCTGAACTGCTTGAAGCGAGACCAGGGCCGGCTTGCGAGAAATAAAGTCAAAGCTGAGACTGTGTAAAAAAATAAATCAGCGGCAAGGCAAGACATGTGGAGTGGCACGTGAAGTCGAGTCTCAAGCGCTTGAGCCCCCCAGCCTTGGCAGGCTTCCTCTCACACAGTCTGAGCTAAGACGTTGCTTTTAACAAGCGAGCCCTGTTATCGGCGTTATGAACGCCTCGCGACTTCCGTCAGTGCAGAGCTTGTTGCTCTGGCGTTGCGTGTCCTCCACCGTGCAGGGTACCGGGTTCGAAGCCGCACAGTGGAAGTGCATCCTTCCTCCGGCGGCCAGGAGTGTCCGCACCTGAAGGAGACGGAGAGCTGCGACCGCGCCGTGCTGTCTCACTGGGAGCCCGAGCCCTGGAACGTCTGCCAGCCGCTCTCGGGAGCCAGCTGCGGCGTCGGAGTGCAGTCGAGGAGCGCCCGTTGCCTCTTCTTCGACGGGGTAAGATATTCGATAGATTGAACTTGGGATTATAACAGTCACTGACAGCTTAGGAAAGGAAGGACGTGGCGAGTTCTGAGTATGTTTTTATCGCTCCGCGGCCAACACGATTGGGAAATATGCTATTAAAGGCGCAGAAGAACGAGTTTCGACGCAAGAAGCGTGAACATATTGAGCCGCTCTCTGTGTTTTTGAAGCCGTTAGTGGTACTTCGCCTTTCCAAGGCGTATCATCAAGGCGAAAAATGCTGAGTCACTGGTCAATAGACACATGCGGAGAGTCTGATATTCTGTAGTAGTGAGCCACTGCTCATGTTTAGAACGCGTTGCACAGCCCGATAGACAGGAATGGCAGCACGCAGAAGACAGCTGTTGAAATGGTCCATATATGACCAAGCCCTGAATCCCGTGAAAGGTCGTGAAGCTGAGCGCGTGAAAAATACCACTCCCGATTTTGCCGCTGCCGATTTCTTTGCCAGATATGTTAAATCATTGTTGTGACAATCCAATTTTGAGCGGAGAGCTTCTCGGAGCAAGCTTAAAATTGCGGCTCAATGCGACAAAAGTCTTCGGCGTGATTTTTCATAGTGCGAGATATTATTATTAAAATGCGGTAAGAAGTTGCGTTCCGCAATGTTGTACAATGATATTTAAATCAACCAGAGAATTTCTGTTTGCAAGTTGTTCCAGAAGGTGGCCTAATGGTCGGTTTTCATTTTGCAAGGTGTGTAGTGTTTATAATAATTCTGATGAAGTTTTTTTGTCTTTCTTATGTATATGCGTGTGTGAGCTTCTTTTTTTTTTTTTCTTCTTTTTCTTGTGCTGCTGCGTCTGTCACCGTATGGGGCTTCGTGCTCGTCAAGCCTCCTTTGGAGGCTTTTTCCCTTCTGCCCCTCCAATTCATTTGGAAAATAAAGTTATTATTATTATTATTATTATTATAAGGTAGCACACCCTCCCCCCCCCCCCCCCCCCCCCCCACGCTTAGTTTACAGGTTTACATAGCTCGCATATGTCGTCGTTCAGGGCCATGCCAGCATTGTATGCGCCCCCAGCGTTCGGTTCGCCGCGTTAGTTTCCCACCACATAAGTTGAAGGTCGAAGACACCAGTAAGTAGAAATAACCGGCAGTACCAGAAATAGCGGCACTTGCAAGCTCTGTATACTCCGCTTCCTTTAAACACCAAAAACTAAATCTGGTCGTAAAATACCTCTTGGGGGTCTTTGGCCTATTTATATTTTTCACCCTAAAAGTTCTCTCAAACACCCCCTACACGGGTTCTTTGTAAAAACGTATTGAGCGGTCTTTTATGCTCCTTTTTTGATGCTAAAACCGTTTGTGAAAAAACCCTTGAAAAGTTGTTTGCAGCTTTTGTTCATAAAACATTTCTTAAATGAAAACCACTCACGAGCTATTTTGTACACTTTTTAATAAAAAAAAGTTCTTCATAAATAACCTTTGAGAAGCTCTTATCAGCTATTTTTGGCTCGATAAATCAGTTCGCCGAAAAAAAAAAAAACATTCATTTCTAAGATATTTTTGTGAAGTGATCTTCGTGAAAAACCTTTGAATAGTTCTTTTAAGCTATTTTTCTAATAAGACAGTTCTTTGTTAGTTAGATTTGAAGAGACATTCGAAACAAAACAACAGTTTCCTATACTTCATGACTCAATGAACTATCTACTCCTTCAGAACGTAAATATTTACATTTACGTTGCTCACTCCTGTGCCAGCGAAGTGTTTCGTGTAGTCACTCACTCTTTTTCTGCCTGTCGTGCATGCTGTGCATACAGCGAAACGTTTTACACAGTAGAACAACCTCGCGCTTCTGCGAAGTAATTTAGGTGAAAAGGTTTTTAGTAATATGTAATATTATTTGAGCATTTTATTTTTATACTAATTTTCGATTTATAGTTCTACATTTCAATAGTGAATACAAACGCAGGGTATACCGTGAAAAATTAGATAAGATCAGTGCTGCTCCACAGCGAAAAAAATGGAAGTTATAAAGAACCTTCTCGAACGAGTGAATTCTTCACCAGCCAGTTGCCTTTCCAGTGCGCCAGGGGGCGATAGCGTTTGAAGCGAAACCGTTCTTTACAAGCTGATTCTTGGGGCGTCGAAGAACCTTTCGAGAGAAGATTTTTTTCAGAGACCAATCGCAGCCAACGCTACGTATCAACGGGCCGGTTAAGCAATGCCCAAAAGTGCATCGTGACGGCGGACATCGCTTTAGTGCGTGTGTTATCACAAGAGTTTTCGGGAACCGTGTTTGCGCGTCCGATGCGGTACGATAGGCCCTCGGGTACAAACTGGGCATATGCGAGTCTTCTGTGGCGCAGAGCGTACCGGAGGGTCCATCGTGCAGTATGGTCCCTCGTGCAGCCGACGCTACGGTCGGGCTGCCGACGCTACGACGATGGACCATACTGCACGATGGACCATCGTGCAGCCGACGCTACGGTCGGGCTGCCGACCGTAGCGTCGGCTGCGGTAGGAGTAAGAGTGAAACGCGGTCTATTAAAATAGCGACGAAAAACGTTAGCGTGCATGCGTATTGGCTGATGGATTCCAGAAGCACCATCTACCGACATTGAAAAAGGTAAATTTGAAAATACAGATCATAAATAAAAGAGGCGGTTCTTGATTTTCGCATTAGCCACAAGCTTTTAGGCCCTGACTTCCTGAAGACTGCAAGTTACAGAACAAAAATCACGGCTGAAGCAGAACAAAATACAAAACGCCATCTTACTCACCCAATTTGTGTGTCGTTGCTAGTCTTGGCTGTATCTGCATCTAAAAGCAAGCGCACAATATCGAGAGTTTTTACTGAATCCATCTAATTCCAGATAACATTGCTTTGAGCCTATTGAAATAGGAAACAGCATAAGAGGCATTTATCTGCCAATAACAAAAATGCAGTATTGAACTAAACTTGTTCGGCAAAAAGAAGAAAAAAAAACTTTGCTTCCAAAATTTTATGGACAATCATGTGTGTGTCACGCGCTGGGGTAGACAATAAAAATAATTCCTCCGGTAGACACTTAAAGTAACAAAAATGCTCAAAAGTAGTTACCTAACATATCGTCCATCTGCATTCCTTGCGTCAACGTGTAGCCACATGAACGCATCCACAAATACTTCTCGCAGCATCATAGGAATACGACACAACGTAGGACTAATGGTGAACATCCCGTTAAATGCAGACAAAAGTGGACGACGCTCACTGCATCATCTATGAATCGCCGCTGTTGAAAGAGCGGGAATGTTTTGTGCCGTGTCCCGACGACTGCGTACTCTCGGAGTGGTCTCCCTGGTCTCCATGCACGCTGCTCTGCGCGGAGAAGATGGCGTACGGAGTTCAGTCACGAAATCGCAGCATCATAGGCTACCCCGCGAAAGGTCAGTATTGCTATCTTCAGATTTCACTCTAGCGTTCTGCGATTACTCTCTCTGTATCAACGTCTTAGAAATCCAGTACGTTTGCCGTACTTACGCGGAAGTATTCTTCTAGCATTAGAAAACAACCTTGTCTTGATTACTTCCATGCAGAAAGCGCATAATTATTCATAGCAATCAATGAAAAAAAATTTCTTTACTGAGAGCTTGGTGGCTCTGAGGCGTGATTTTGGTTTGAACATTTAAGATCACATTTGACAGAATTAATGGTTTATCATAGATAGAGGTATTAGTAAAAGAAACTGCGAGCTAGGAATTTGCAGTGAGTTTGCAATATATTCAGCGGCCGTTGGAGTGCTTTTGGTGGTCAGGTGTTTTGCACCTTAGTCTTAATTGACTGATTAAGTTACTGAATAAAGCTATCTATCAAGGGTCACTAAAAAGCTTACTAATCTTGAACATCACAAGAATAAGCAAAATTGACTTTTTCTTTCTTTATTTAAAGGAAAATCTATTCGTAAACTTTAGAGCTGACACGAGGGTTGCCCGTAATTCATTACATGTACGTTCAACTTCACAAAATAAATATACAAAGTTTATCAGTAATTTAGACAAATTAAGATGCTTTATCGTTGATTTGAAGTTAAGTATTATCATTACGAGCTCAGATCAATATTCAAATCAGATTTTAAATTCTATACTATGTACGAATGCAGTAAAAGCTAGAAGGAAAATGTTTTAAAACTTCTCCGAACCCTAAAGTGTCAGTCAACATTTCGCTTAGATACTTAGGTTATACGAGTATATTTACAACGTTTGTGTTATCTCACAATGATTTACGTTAATGCCATGGAATCTTTTATATCTAAAAAAGCATTACTTTACTCTAGTTTGCTATCTAATCAACTTGAAACTTATAAAGTTTCAATGGGTTCAATCCCGCCATCGCGGGGCTCTTCATAAGTTCTACAGTGACAACGCCATGCGTTGAGATCGGCGTACATTTCTTTTTCAATAGGAGGAAAATCCTGCCCCCAGAAATCCGAGCTGAAGGAAGTGGATGACTGTAACTTAGTGAGTTGTTTCGGCTTTCGGTGGAACACCGGACCCTGGAAGCGTTGCGTTCTGCAAAATACGAGCAGCACATGTGGCAAAGGAAAGCAGAGCAGAACCGTCAGCTGCTTCTACAAAGGAAACGTGTCGGATAAAAAGTAAGTAGATAATAAAATGTGGGTTAGGAGAGGAACTTTCCCACGCGGCACCATAGTTTACAATATTTTTATCACAATTTTTTAGCATACGCTTACATAATCAGAATTATACATTCCAACTCTGAGATACTTCAAATATTTTCCAACATGCACACAGCGGTGTGTGCACCGCGAATGGCTATCGCCTTTTCGCCGTGCCACGGCTCTCCTGAGCAAATAAAGGTTGTTATTATTATTATAGACCAACACGCTGTTTACAAACAAGTCCGCGTTTTCCCACCGAGGATGCGCTGAAACCAGATACGCTTAAAGAAAAAACATCCGAGCACGCGTGTGCCCATGGCAGCACCACTGTAGCACCAGGTTCTGACACCGGACTGCTACGGCCCGGGTCGGAACTGCGTGTTGGTGCGTATACTAAGGCTATGTCCGTAAACCAGATTAAACGAAGTGCTTCCATTGAAAAGCGCAAGTTAAAATTTAAATAAGATGCTGTGTGGGAACATCACAAAATGTGCCACCTGAAATAATGTAGAAATCTTACCTGTCTTTTAATAAGTGGTTTGGAAGTAATTTTACTAGCCGAAGTTATATATTGCGATACGTGCGAATATATGGTCACTAGAACGTGCTTGCGATATCTCCATGAGTATTGTTTGATTTGGCGCTCTAATTCATTATTATGAACTCAGATCAGTTGACATATTAGCTTTTAAATTGTCAACAATGTACGAATGCAATAGAAACTAGGAGGAAATTGTTTTAAACTCTCCCGAAGCCTTAAAGCACCACAAAGTAAGTACTACCAGCTTGGATATTTGTGTGGTAATATTTCATTTTCCTTCTATAAGGGTTTTTAGATTTCTTTGGTATTTGACTTCCGTAGAGATATTCTGGATTATACAATATTTTGAGTAGGGAGTGTGGTGTAAACCAAATTTGGCTTTTTGCACTATTGCTCAAAAGGGCGTTAGCTGATAGATTATTGTTAATAAGATAAACTAAATTAGTTAGGTCTGGGCGTTAGTGTAATCTCAGCTATATTCACCGGATGTATATTTTACTGTTGTCGTTGGTTTATCACGATAGGTGCGCCCCTCTGAAGAAACCCCCGGCTTCCCAGCCGTGCCATGTGCCTTGTCCAGTGGACTGCAAACTTACAAATTTTTCAGATTGGACGTTATGCCGAGACTGCGGTGATGGTATGAACCCTCTACTTTCAATGTTGTTTTTTATATATCAGAAGTTACGTGGTAGTGTTCTTTCTGTTATATATGCTTATTCCAACCTAATACATGCAGATTTAATTTCATGCAGATTTAAAACGAAATATGTGTATACTTCTTTACTTTGTCAGACATTATCTTATACACTGCATTTGAAAAAAAAAAAACGATTCTAGAACCACAATCCTTGTCTACAAACATGCCGCTTTCTTGATAACATCATTTTAAAAGAAATTAGGACGTCATGCTTTCTATAACACCCGTTGCGGAGTATTACATTTTTTAATACACAGTGGGAATTATAAGAAAACAAATATGCTGACTTCAAAAGTCGAATATCACTAAAAATACTGCAAAACTTGTTGTGGCGTTTCCTAGCAGGTGTTAGATATCACGTAGAAGTTTGAAAGAAAAGTATAAAACGTTAGCCGCTGAAATGCTTTCCCTTCAGAAGTAGTCGTTTAGTTTAATTTAATACAGCTATATTAGGCTTTATCAGCCACTATGTGAAGATCAAATCATAGAAGCTCTGCGGCGTTTGTCTCCTCGTAGAAATCTCACTATACTTTCTGCGGGAACATTGAGGTTTCAAGTTTAACTCTACGCATCTAGAAGATTTTGCGGTCACTGAAACACTGTTTTATAATAATTCGTTCTGTAATGTGTTTTTGCTTCTTCTAGTTGGCCTTTAGCATCGAGGAAAGGACAATTTGCAATTAACGCCGAAGAAGTAACTAAATAGTTTGTTTACGCCTCAGTGAAAATCCTTGTTTCCGTGAACGGTTGTGAAAGGCCTCAGTGTTACGAACTGCGGACTGTTTCTTACACTCAAGCATGCTACCTTGTTTTCCTATGGCTGACGTTTTGACATATTTGAGCATATATAATCACTCATTGGTGTTGATAGATTTGCTGTTACTATTTATAGCTTCTAAGAAACTGAAGCTTAATGCCACATCCTCTCATCTAGTTTTTCGATATCGTACCTATCTTCCATGCAGATATCCATTCTGTGGCATTCCAGATTTAAAAAAAAAAATACTCTTAGTCAAAATAGCTACTGATCTTAGCTTTTACGTTCACGAATGCTGCCCTTTACATGGCAATATCATTGCTCATCTATGCGCAGGTAACGAATATATTATGTAAAAGCTTTGATGGTTTGACGAACCATTGGTTTCAGAAGCGCTAGTTTTCACGCTGCCTCATAAATGTCATGATACACCTCAAAATGTTTCCCGTATCGAGACACATCACATCACGTCGTTCATAGTTCACTTGAGCAATATTGCCGGGAACTTCACACTAAACCATTAGCAATGTGGTGATTTGTGCCTGTTCTCCGCACTCCCAACATCAAAATTTGAAACATCGAAGATTAGTATTGAAGAAAGAGCTCGCAGTCGTACTTCACCTGAAAATGATATAAAAAAAAATCATTCTAAGCAAGACGCTCATCTTTCTCGCGTTCCTTTGCGTTGCCTTTGTTCAGGAGATCCGGTGCTTATTCGAGAACGGTTCGTGGTTCAAAGCGCTTCCTCGGGCGGCAAGCCCTGTCCCTGGCAAAGCCTCCGCCAAGTGAGGATGTGCAGGCCGGAGAGCGAGCCCTGGTGCCTGGCACTTCGGCGCTCCCCCGAGGACACCTACAGCTGGAACACTTCTGCCTGGTCACAGTGCATCCTTCTCCCGGAACAACACTGTGGTGTTGGTTACCAAGTCAGAAGTAGGTTTGAGTCAAGGCTCCGCCAGACGGTAGCTACCCTTAAAATGCTGCTATAAGGAAAAAGTCTGTGTTTTGACACTGACCATAGTAAAATGCCATGCTCAGCGTCACCACAGCCCGCTTACAGTTTTTTTTTTCTCTCTCTAAACATATTTTGGCCTCAACATTTGCCAAGCTTCCTCTATAGATCTGCAGCGATTGGCCTTCCCTGGCGCATTCGTGGAAATTAGGCACACCAGAGTGTGGCAGCGATAGATAGGGGTGACTGGTCACAATGTTGATGCCCTGCAAAGTATATGGCACATAATGATTTTCTATGGTTTACTCTTTATCTTAGACTGAACGCTGAAGAGAAACCAAACTTTTCCTAAGTTCGGCAGTCCTAAAACCTAATTTGGGCCTGATAATGATTTCCTCCAATGAGTTAGTCAGGACCATGAGACGCGGCCTTGACTATAATTAGCCAGAAAAAATGCCAGCCTGCATCTTCTATGGTGTGCCACGTAAGTGCCCAGGTTTCGTACATGAGCATAAAATGAAAGGTGACAACCGAAGTATCAGGATCGATGCCTACTTCTAGCAGAATTGTCGAGACTGGGCTGCTTGGCGCTACGTCATTCGGGCATTTCGTCGGGATATGAGGCCCCCAATAAACGCGTGACGACTAAATAACCCTGCAATGAAGCCTAACTCTGGGAAGTGTTTGACAATTCAGGACCATGTTACCCAAACACTGGTCAAAACTTTTTCAAGTTTGGGGCGTTCTTCCGGCTGTCACGGCACCAAGTGTCTAGACGGATACTAAATTCTGGATCTAAAACTGCGCTATTCGGGGTGGTGGTCAGCTTTGTATGCTATATGCTATTTCGCTACTCACTACTATTGTGTTCGCGGTAGGCGCTCATAACTAACTGAGTGTGATCAGATTTTAGAATCGCTTTTGGATTTGAGATAGCGTATGTCAACTCGGGCGGATTAATTAGGGAATTAAAACTTGGTGATATATTTTGTTCAATATTAGAGCGCGGTAAACAGATAACACAGTCGATATATCCTACGACATCCTCCCAGAGATAGAAGCGACCACTTGCGGCGCAGTTTAAACATTTTTAACTTAATGGTTTAGTGGCAACACATGAGTAGATCTTCCCAGAAGTTTTGAAATGTTACTTTATACGTGAAGGTCGAAAGGGGGAGAGGGGGTTGTTACTGTCTTGCACACGTTACTAAAGTTCTCATTTTTACGCCCACTTAAAAACTAGCGACGTAAATGGGCTTCGTAGATAAAAGCAGCGGAGACAAAACGTGCAAAGAGTACGGGACGTACGATTGAAATAGTGAACAACTTAAGAAATTCCCAGAACCTTGCAAATCCTTCGTGTTTGTTAACGTCCGTTTCTCTGCTTGCCGTACAAAACAATGCGCGCAGAAGGAAATGTTTTGTGGGCGAGCTCTTTTTAGATTTACAAGACGTAATGCTTTCGAGCTTACAAAGTTTACATTTCGAAGACAAAATTTCTTTATGTGTTCGTATCGTTGCAGAGCTAAGAAAGAAGCTTTTAGTCTGTCTGCCTCCGACTTGTATTTCGACCTGGCTATTTATCCGTTGGGGTGACGTCATTAAGGAGAAGTGTTGAAAGGCAATCTTTTAGTCATCTACTTTTATTAGTAGTTGTCATTACGCTAGTGTTAATTCAGTATTTGTATTACCTCGCATGCATTCATGCACCTATTTTTGGTCATAGCGCGGTGACCTAATCCTACTACAAAATGACAAGAAATCTTTGTAGGCCAGACTTTAGAAATAACACGTGACGATATGAAGACTCATGCGTACAATATTAGAAAATCAAAGGAAAACCACTATATTAGACAACTTGTTGCTCGATTGTCGTGTTTGAACGTAGAGACACAATAACATTTTTAACCCTTATAAAAATGGCGCATGTGACCCAATTCCCTAACCGAGCTTCAGAGTACTTAGAGAAACTTTGGTCAAAAAAGTATTGACTCTGAGCGGTCGTAGAGTTTAATCCAGATATCTCCAGAAGGGGTGGCCGTCGTAAAAATAGAATACATCAGCTGCTATAGAAATTGGGGGGTTTTACGTGCCAAACCAACGACAGGCATCTGGACTGCTATACAATACTGGTACCCCTTAGAATGTCTCAGAATGATAATTCAAGGTAGTTGTCAATAATCAAAAGCTTCTGTTTTTTGTTTGAAACTAAAATTGTGTACTACTGTATGGCACACAGATGTCTCTAAATTAGATGCACCCTCTAAATGATCTCTTCATTTAAACTGAACAGAATGAGCTGAAAAAATATCGAGCAACAAGCTCAAAGCTTATGTCCTATATCTGACTGGTATATTTATGTATATTAAAAAAATGCTTCTTGGAAGCCTCAGAGATTCTTAGCCACACTAGAACTATGTTTGTTAGCCCAGCCGTTGCGCCAGCTCTGTAGCTTTCACTAGTGTCTTTTGCGAGTTACCCCTACCATATTCGAGTTCCTTCGTATAATGTTTTTGATCTGACTAAGACCGCTGATTAACGTTTATTTAAAACACGTGCACAGCAGGGGAGGATAAGTTTCACAAAGCACGCCAAGCTCCAAAACAATTTTACGCAGCAACGAGATTTGGTGCGCTTCGAAACACATTCAAAGTGTGGAGATTTGTCGGGATGTTAAAATTTTGCGATCCGTCTACTCTGTCTGGTGGTTTTGAACAATTGATTTTACACTTACTGACGTATTGAGATGCCGCCTCGGTGGCTCCGAACGTTTGAGGCGTTCCAAACTCAGCCAAGATACCCGTGAAATGGCGGAGCGCTGTTATGGAAAAGACGTGGTGTAACCGATATTTTCCTTTCACGTCAAAATAACTTCAATTAGTATCGCTCACCTCTCACTAATTTGCTCGATAGTACCAAACAAACTTCAAAAATTTAATTGTTATTACTTTGTGCAATTTATGTTTATAATTTCTTACGAGCCCCTCTATCCCCCTCCCCCCCTTTTTTTACTGTTACGTCCACAAGGCAATGACTGCATGAAACAAATGAATAAGAAGAAGAAATATTCGCTTGTCCAAATAACATTAGCCTTTCCTGTTTTTTTGCATATTTTAAGTCTTGATATGAAGGAAAATAAATTAAGCCCCGAATGCAACGATGTGTTAGCCCCTGACTTGTAGTTTGTTTTCCCCATCGGGCTTTCTTGTACTTACGTAACTTAGAGTATATATGTTTTCAGTTTAAGAAACGCGGGGGTGGCGAGTTCCGAGGATCCCCTTATCGCCAATGAGATCGCCGCACTAACCGAAGATAATTCCGATGATCAAATCAATAGCAAGAAGCGCGGACATTTTGATTCACGTCCTGAGGTTTATCAGCTCTCAGTTACTATACGGGGCGCAAGCTCGTCTGCTTCTTTTGCAGGAGTTGCGGTGACGTCAAAACGCCGAGCTCTGATTGGCTCGATCGGAAGGATAGGGGGTAGAGCTTAATGCTAGTTGCCTCGCTTTCTACCCTCTATCCTTCCAATCTGAGCCAATCAGAGGTGGGCACTTTGATGTCACCGCCACCCCTGCTCAACGAGGAGACGAACTTGCGTTCCGCGTAGCGTGTGCTTTCTTTTCTTTAAATTTTTGCTTAAACTGCTCATAAATGTTTCATCCGAAAGGCAGACAATTTTTTTTAAAACTACCGAAGTCTCTTAACTTTCTCATTTGAGCGTTCTCGTTTGCTAGTTGTCACTTGTTTTCTTACTTGCTCTCTCACGCTTTCAGACATCACTTGCACCGACTCCAACCGAATGCCGGTGGAGGCGGGCCTCTGCGTGAACATGTCTGGGTTCGCTTCGGGCTCGCCGTTCTTCCCGGTATTCACGGTGCCCGTGGTTCATCGAAGGTGCTTCGTGAGCTGCAGCACCCTCTGCGCAGAGTCCGAGTGGTCCGAATGGTCGCCGTGTCCGGACGACTGCCGGAACATTGTCAGTTACCGGCGGCGAGACCTGATCGGTACGTACTCTAATGACTCAGGATTCACGAACATCAGGCGTTTTCAGGACGCCATGTTGCTGGTCGCTGTTCATTGCGCATGCTCACCAATATAATTCGTTTCACCTAAAAATCGAGCGCAGGTTACGTTATGAGCCGATGAGACGAATTAAAGAGCGCCTAATTTGCAACGTCATGACATTCCTCATTTTGTTGCTCGTTAGATATAATTGGCTGAGCCAAACAAGCGCAGTGAATGCATCGTGACCTGGCTGTTTTAGTTCGCGTATTGGTGTTCTCATTCTCCTAGCCTTTGCCTGCACTCTTAGTTAAGATGGAACATAGTATAACTCATACTTATCGCCAGTTCAGAAGTGCCCTCACTGGGTGGAATGCAAAATTAACGTGGATAATTGTTCGTTCCTCCTAAACGCACATTTAGTGTTGGCAGAAGATACCTAGCAGCTTATTTTGAGCATGCTCCGCGAACAAGATTCAACAGTATGGCGTCCAGTGACCATCTCGTACATATTTAACTCCTAAAACACTCGCGTGTATGCTTTCAAAGCGAAAGCGTTAAGGAGCTCGTGCCTCAGAAATTCGGGGAATTCGGCAAATACCCGCAAAAATTAATAAATTGCTTTTCGCGCACGGCCAAACTTGGGGCTTTATGCGCGTTTCTATTCAGATAGAAAAATAATTAAAGCGGTGTCATGGGAACACATCTAAATGCAGCGTAACAATGAAAGTTTAGCCTCAAGTTGGCATCTCATTAAACTACTTCTTAGAACCGAGGCCCTGTTGCGGGCCATGCACTTAATCTGTAAGAAAGTATAATCCAGAAACGCAGATAAACAAAAGGTGTCAATATAAAAAGTTTAAAAAAGAAATACGGCAAAAAATATAATGCTTAATGTTCAGTACCTGAACCCGGACCTCCTGATTATACAGGTTCGGTGTGTCATTAGCTATATTACTACGGCCACAGCTGACCACTAATTAACAGGTTGGGTTTTGGAGCCCGGAGCCGGAGCATATTTCTGTAGGCGATCTTTTGATTCAGGTTTATACGTACGATTTATTTATGCGCTTATATAAATTTTAATGTCACAAGGAATTTTGTTTTCGAGATTAGAGGGTCACGGTATATATATACTTTTTGAGCTAACGTCCGAACGCCTGGCCCCAGTTTTTTTTCACTCTAGGTAAACAAAAAGCACGAAGGGCAGAGTCTGATAGGCTGTTTAGTGATGGTCGCACACCAAATTGGTGTTCAATGTTGGTGAGAATCCAAGTTAAGCCGAAAACATATACTTGGATGCACGTACAGTAGTAGGAAGATGGACATATGCGAATTTACTACATCAAACCGCAAGTTTAATTTTATGCTACACTGTCGGTGGCCAATAAGGTCGAGTTTTATTCATTTTTTGGTGAAAATATATGCTGCAGAAATCACAAGCTTAATTGTGAATGGACACAACATACCCCGTCAGCGGCAATGAAACGTCCAGCATACGCGACAGGCAAGCATTGGAAATATTTAAAAGTGTCCTGCAATGTCTCTAAAGAAGCTACTGTTTTTTTTTAGACGAAACATTAAATATTTTGAAAAGTTAAGTTGTCAAGCAAACGAAACAAAGTCATATATATAATTCTTATACGTGAACATATAAAGACGTGGGAACAAGATAACACCCGCATGGCCGTTCACCAGTCACCCATTCATGTTTGCGTTTTAAGCGAGTTTTGCGAATATTTTATATTTTCTTTGTTGATGAAACCCTCTCAATTAGCCTACTGACCCGCATGCAGCACTTTTCTAACAATTCGGTGCAGCGTATATTGACGTTTTCACTTAGTGTTTTTAGCATTCATTTATTTCTGAATAAAGTATAATCTCAACGTTTGTGAACCACAGCATCAGGTGCTCATTGGGTCAGCAATTAAACAAATGATTGAATGAAAGAATGGATCAATGAATAAATGAAATGTTGAATGGATGAATGAATGAATGACAAAATTTAAAGACTGAGGAGTGAGTGATCGGTGAATATTTTAAAAGGATAAAATAAAATGTCTGTTTTAATTACAGCGTATTTATTTACACTTTTGGTCATAACCTATCATCGTATTATATCTTTAAAAGGGACGTTGCTTTGACAAAGCTGCTTCTGTTTATTCCGTTCCCGCAAAACCGATGAAATAATCGTGATGGTGAGACTTCGTGCTAGCATTGAGCAGTTAACTTTTAAAGCATAAATTACCACAGAAAAAAAAAGTGGCGCCTTGACGTTAATGAACAGTTAATATGTTCATAAGTCTCATGCTATACATTCCTTCAGGTTCACATTCCTCAAGGTGCGACATATTCCTTCGTGAAGATCAACGCGAAGAACGATCATGCCCAGTCAAGCAGCGACTGGAAGTCAAGAACGCTCAGTGGAGCGAGTGTATATTCCTGGATACCAACGCAACCTTTTGTGGAAAAGGCTTGAAGTATAAAATGGCGTCGGTTACTTCAGCTGCCTGTAGCGTGACAGGTAAGTGAAACGTTAAAAAGGCTTTATTGTTTTTTTTAATTATATTTATTGCATCAACCATATTATTTAAGCCTGTAACATTCGAACGAAACTCAGTTCCAATAATCAATCGAAACATGTTATATCAAACGCTCTAGGAGAAAGGAAGTGATTTTATCTTCCGTTTCGTTGCGCATAAATAAATTAGCGAATAACAAGATCGAGAACACGATTTTCCATACGAATGCTATTTTCAAAGACGGTATCTTTGCGCGAAGACGTTATCTCGGTCCTCTAAACAGCTGAAATCATGCTCTCGATCGCGGTGATTGGCAATTTGCGTGCTCAGCGGAAAAGCGAACCCTTAGGTTTTCTTCATAAAGAGTGCGGCTATTACTCGAGTAAATACGGTATTACAATTACCGAAGATTATCTCATACAATATTCCAAAACGGAAGGTAGAGATCCGCACAAGTTACTTCTTCAGAAAATACAGGACACAATGCTAAAAAAGGGGACGCGTCACTTGATATTGGGAGGGGGGGGGGGGGGGGGGGAAGGGGGGATACGTAATGCTGTAGCGCTTTACGATTTGAACGACTATTTGCACACTACCACTATTTTTGACTGCACTTGCACACATCTACAATTTTTTTTTTTTATGTGTGAATTTCGTTTAGGTTAGTCGCATGCGGCAAAATAAAACTGCCGACAACCCTATTTCCGCTTCCAATATATCGTTCCGGTTTTATTCGAAGGCATCCAAAGTGCCTCGTGCGAACAACCGTGCCCCAAGGATTGCGTCATGAACGACTGGTCCCCGTGGTCTCCGTGTGACGCGGTCTGCGGGATGGGCCAACGAACCAGGAGTCGAAGCGTCCGCCAGTGGCCTCAGAACGGCGGCCGGCCTTGTCCTGTCAGTGATCACCGGCTAGAGGTGAGAGAGCAACATTGCAATCCGTGCTCTTTAGACAAATGGTCTTATACCCACTCTAAATAGTCCGTGTAAAGACCAAGTGGAAAGTGTACGGAATCAGTCATTTTAATAAACTTTTACAATGCACCCAATTACAGTTCTTTAAGGAAACAATATTTGCGATACGAAAAGGGTAAAGATTTGACGGTCATGCACATCTCTCACAGCGCTGCCTAAATGTAGATAGAAATACTTAATCTGAGATTTTTATTCCTAGATTGCCACTGATTTTGAGCTCCCTCGACAAAAAAGGGCCCTTTGATACTTTACATCTGTTTTAAAGCGCACCTGCCAAACTTTAAAATGAAAAACTTATGACTGAAAAAAACTATCGTCATTGATATTTTCCTAAATAAGACAAGGCGTGAAAAACATGTCTTTTCGATTAAAGCTTTAATTCATTCACGAATTCACCTTCGACGTTTTTGCCAAAAGAAAACACATATCGATTTACGGTGACTAAATACGATCATTACACTAATTGAAAACCGCGAACCACTCTAAAACCGATATAAAGAAACTCTGCCACCACCGTCTCATCGGGCACTCAGAGAGTTTGCTGTTAGTCAAGCAACCTGTTGTCTGGTGTCATCTTCGCGCTCAAGGAGGTTACTTATTGGTGGTGACACTTCCGTCGCCATGTTTTCTCTTGCTGCGTTTTCAGCCACCCCAGCGGGCGATTTGTGCTTGTTATGTTATGTTTTAGCTGCCGTAGTTTGTAAGTGCTCCTTGGCAATCTCGCACGAAGAATATTCACTCCCTCCTCACTCAACCGCGTCCTGGTGCCGAAGGAGGTGTTCACCGGTGGCCATAAATTAGTCCAATCTTGCTCAGCTCGAGCTAACGATTGGCTCCCATAACGCTGCTGCAACGTGCAATGCACACCACCAAGATTGTAGTTCTTCGCAGACGATAAGTACAAACTCGTTCTGTGCCTCTGTTCATCGTGGCGAACTTGCATTTGCTACATGTGTTTCGTATCTACGAAGCAAAACAGTAAAACAGCCATAGCATCTTGCCTGACTGATCAGAATGAACTGTTCTTGCGGCTAGGCCAGTCGTACGTTTTGCAGACCACGGTACGAAGTTTGCGTCCAACGTGTAGCTGACCCTGAGGGTTGCAAGGTGCTCCAGCTTTGTTCTCGAGATCGAAACTTAGCGTCAGACATGTAGCTGGTCGCAAGGGTTTATATCATGCTCGAGCCGGTAATTTCGGTTTTTTTCCGTAGAGCCCCCGAAACAGAACTTTGAGGTAATATACCAAGAGCTACACGAGGTACAGAAACAATTTACATCTGGTATTCTTCGTAATCCGAAAATCAAGAAAAGGTACCAAAGTTCCCCTTTAAAAGCGTAGTAGCGATCAATTAGGCACAACTTATTCATGTTTGATCGGTTTCTTCGATGGCATTGAAAGCATCGTAATTTCACGCCTTTGATAACTCGCAGGTTAGCGTCCAATCTAGAATTTTAAAATTCATATTTAATGTATAAAGATGTCGCATGCACCATTTTTTTTCGCCCGTTCTTAAATATTTTTATTGGTCTATAAGCAAGCGCGCATAAAAATGTACTGAAACGGGGTAATTAGGAGAACGCGAAGGAGAATACAAACTAATCTCACAAATCTTGCCTTTCCCTTTTAGGAAACGCAAATAGACGCGTGCATGGTGGACTGCGGACGGAACATGTGGTTGCCCTCTGGCTGGACGAGGTGTCGTCATCCGACCTCCAACAAACGCCTTCCGTGCGGAGAATCCGGTGTTCGCAGCAGGAGCGTTCTGTAAGTGGCTACCAGATTTCTAAGCATTAGAAAAAGCATGGATTCTATACTCTAGGTTCTATATGTACCCACAGCCGTTTCACACTCACTATTAGAAAGGGGATAAAGAGAAAGGCGTCATAAAGGACGAAGACAGTACGAAACATCTTTCCCACTGGCAGCTTGAACATTTCTTCGAGCTGCCAGTTTCAAATATCTTTTGCGCCGTTTTCCTTTTTTTTACGTTCGTTTCCTTTTACCTTTGTAACTTTCCAGTGCGCACTAATTTCTCGAATGTTTGTGAAAGGAAGGGGTCAGGGAATTATATCGTCTTATGTAACAAAAGATGCAGACGTTATTTACCTTTGATACTTCTGACGTCAGCAATGAAACTATTAAATTCCTAATCTCAAATTAAATGTGTATATTGCACCGAATTGTTAGCATGGGCACGGCCGCTCTATTAGAACTCCCTTTGGGAGCCGCCTGCCGTATGCTTCACTCCGCCGGTGAAAGCGATAGTTCTACTTTGCCCCGCAGCGCCATCCGTGGCGCTCGTTATCGGCGAGAGAGGAGCAGTCCGCCCGGCCCGGCCCGGTGTGGCTATTTAGATTGTTTCTCGTGAAGCGGCAAGTCTCAATTGAAACGAGCACCAGATTGCAGCAATGGTGTGACAAATCTGCGTAGAATAAAAGCACACGATTCTTTCTGCGAAAAGCTCACTCTGCTGGAGGCTGCGCGTTAGTGCCGCATTCAGCTGGTATTATGAGGGAATCGTTGTTTTCTTGTTCCCGTAAGTGTTGCCCCGTTTCTATTACCACTGAATATAGGAGTTATAGTTGGATATGGCTAAGCCGTATAATTTCCGGTTTTAACCGACGCTCGATCACGCTCGAGCTGTGCCTTTTATTCGTCTGTGAAGGACAATATAAAAACAGATTCCGCGTGGATAACTTTAGCAATATAAACTTCATTGTTCACAAAAACAGATCAAAGGAGTCATATAGTTCACAAGCGGAGTAGCTTTCGGGAAAGGGGTTTCCGCGAAAGCCTCAATACATTCCCTAGAGAGCTGTTTAGGTCACCCACCCAGTTTGCCAAACGAGGTCTGAGGAGCTTCCCGAGAAAGAGCTCGCAGAACTCTTCGCTGTAATACGGGTCTCAGCAGTTAGTACACCACATGAGCGGGCAGTTCATTAGGTGTGGAAGCACAGCGCTCGAGAGCACCTCGCAAATCCGTTCACAACGACGAATCTCTGCCGATTGGAGAGCCCTCTCGACAAAGGTGCAGACGAGCTGGAACAGCCAGACAGCTTGAGGTTGTGGATAGCTGAGTCCTCCTTGGTCAAGGCTAAACACGCACTGATATGCTTAGTCACGTGATGCATTACCCTTAAGTTGCGCTTGCGTTCAGGGCACGTCACCTGCAAAGTTTAGCGGGTTTTACACATTAGACTCCCTTGCTTTCCCTCATACATTTCTATTGCACTCAAAATAAAGCCCGTGCGCCTACGTCCCCACACAAAACTCGGGGAGCCAATCACCGCAACTTAAAGAGGCAGCTCAGCGAATGACGATGCCAAAACATGTCTAAACCAAAAAAAAACGCAGTCTGAGTTGTGTGTGACATTAAGGAATGCAAAACGTCACGCTTGCATTGCTTAATACCACAACTCAGACTGTGTTTTTTGGTCTAAACATATGTTTCCGCATCGTCATTCGCTGAGCTGCCTCCGTAAGTTGCAGTGATTGGCTCACCGAGTGTTCTGCAAGAAGGTAAACGCACGGGCTTTCTTTAGAGTGTACTTTGCTAAACTGAATGTTTCAGCTACTTACTTTGAAATTACTACAATTTCTACAAATAAAAATTGTCACCTTTGTTTCGCAAACGAAGGCCAACTAGTCAGCCATGTAAGTCAGCGGTGCGAACTCAAGTTCGGAAGGGACTTCATTGTCCTTCATCAAGTGCTTAATTTTCCAAAGCATACAAAAAGCTGCCTCAGGGACTGGAGGATTTCCAGTTTCACGAGTGAAGCTGGCACATTTCAACGCCGTCTGGCGCTCAAAACTAGAGGGCGCATTTCCACTTCTGGCAGGTTCCAAAATGCCAACACAAACCACACACGTGAGCACAGGGTGACACTACGATCTCTTTTCCGAGCGAAGTTGTGCAAACGTGGTGGGAAAGCGAGTTTTGCGGTCTTCTGCGATCGCGGAAGTGCCTCGGTATCGGCGAAGCCAATGACGGGCAGTTATGTTATCTAGGTCGCGGAGCAAGAGCGCGTTGGGCGCCTTCTCTAGCTTTCAGCTCACAAGACCACTCACCGATGTGCAGCGCCCCCACGGCAGATGGGAGAAGTTCTCCTCTCACACGCGCTCTTTTGTTTTCGGAAAAAAAATCAGCAGGCCGCACCAACAGGGGGGATCGAGTGGCCGTGGCATGGGAAATCCGTTCTTTTCTTTTGTGTGTACTTGTGAGTAATGTCGCACTTTAATTAGTGTTTAAGTTGCTAGTACGTGAGTAACGTCACATTTAATGAGTGTTTAAGTTTATTTATGCTTTTCAGGTTAAAATATGAGGTTAGTCAGTAAACAACCCTGAGACTGTTTTAATTCGATCTCAAGTTTGGAGTCGCAGGACGCAACATACTCGTCATTCTGGAAACTGGGCCGCACCACGCTCCAAAGCCAATTATGGTGACCAGAAACAGGCTTTTACTGTTCCAATAATTTTAAATAACCTTGAAGCAAAGAGAATTGCCGTGGCAAAAACAAACAAAAAGGAGATTCGCGGCCTATTTTAGTGATCCATTGAATAGGTATTATGCTTTGAAGGTATAGAAACAGTTGTGTATATAATTTTGAAAGTCAATGAGGCATTGTTATGTGCTCATTACTAAGGTCCCCGAGCAAGCGCGTGCAACTCTGAATTATGTTAACTTTGTTTAACCTTTTGCGCGGTATATAATTTCACCACAGTACTGTATTAACACTCGCTTACCTGACTTTATATGCGTTAAATTGCTCATCCACTCATATGCTGTGTTTCTTCTGCGGATGTATAAAGGAGGCGAGGGCTTCGTTAAGTAGCGACCTGCTGCTTTTTTTCCTGCCTTCCCTTCTCAGATGGTAGGGCAATGAAATTGACTCACTGAATAGGGCATAATACAATGAAACACAGGAGTAGCAGAGGTTGTATACATTTGCGAGAGCGAACTTCTTGAGAGTCGGGGAGTGTATTCTCCTCTACGAAAATAATAATTGTAGTGAAACATGGGTTGATATTATAAGTCTCCCAGAAACATTTTCATCTACATTCAGAATGCATGTTTTAAGACGTTCTAAATGCATAAATACACATAACTATTTTAGAGCGCGACTCCCCTCTAACATATATTTCAGAAATTAATTAAGGAATTAAGCGGTACCCAAAATATGTATCACCAAAAATATTTTCGTGGTACGATTCACCGTACTGTGCATTTATTAACACAGCGTATGTAATAACACAGTTAAAGAAGATAGGTTCGGTGTCGACGGAGCAGAAGCAAAAACAAACTCTTGACCATAGTGTGTATTGAAGCGTCATGAGGACGCTATGCTGTCAGAAAGTCCTTCATCTGTAATTCCTTCAGTTTGCTTCAACTGCCAACAATTTGCCCTATTTTCTTCATTGAAAGCACTGAGAAGGTAAATCTCCATCATATTTTGAAGAGATGCTTCAACGAAATTGGAAACATACCCTTCGTACGTTTATACCTTGAGCCGGGTGGCTGTATTTCTTGTTATAAAAGGCCCACTCTGGCGAGCGCTCGGAGAGCAGCCAGCGGAGAGGGCGTGACATCAGGCGCAATCGTGAAGTACACTCTAAAAAAGGCCCGTTTGTCTACTTTCCCGCACAACACTCGGAGAGCCAATCACCGACACTTATGGAGACAGCTCAGCAAATGACGATGCCCAAACAGATGTTTAGAGCAAAAAACTCAGTCCGAGTTATGACATTAAGCACTGCAAAATGTCACGCGTGCCTTGCCTAATGTCACGACTCAGACAGCGTTTTTTTGGTCTAAACATATGTTTCCGCATCGTCATTCGCTGAGCTGCCTCCGTAAGTTGCGGTGATTGGCTCTCCGAGTGTTGTGTGGGAAAATAGACGAACGGGCTTTTCTTCGAGTGTAGGCTGTCTCGGAATGGAGCAAAGCTCTGGTGAGGCTGACGTTGACAGAATGTCCTAGCGGTTCCAGCCACCGAAGCGAGCGGAGCACGCCAGCGATCAGGCCACCGCCCCTAACCGCAAAGCTGCTTTCGAACGAAGTTTGAGTGACAGGTCAATCTTCTTAATCTTGTAGAGGGACAATAGGGACGTCTGGAACACACAAAAGAGAGTCCAGGTGAGAGGGGAGTTCCTCCTTCCCCGCTTCGGTCGTAGTGACCGGAGGCGAGAGAGGCATCGTCACTACCTGTCAAGGTTCCTAGACGAGCATTATGAACGAGGCTTTAAAAACATCAACCAGGTGCTCTTTGATAACAGCTTAATTCGTCTTAAAATTTATTGTCGTATCTGTTCTAGAAAAGAAATGATTGGTGTGCCTGATGTGATACTGCTCCCTTGAACACGAATGTACCAAGAAATAAGCGCCGAAAGTTTGTTGCAGTACCCCTTTAAAAGGTATTCAGTCTCATCGTCAAAAACGGCGGATGTCTCCTCGCCACTGATGCAGCATGAACACCGAGAGGGCGATACGGCTGAATTGTCTCCTTTGTGTAGCTGATGAAAACTTTCCAATAATATATGGTCCAAGCTTTTCACAGGACAGTATACTCCCAGGAGTTTCCGAAAATGCAAATACAAGGGTGATTCCAATTAAAATATTAAAGATGCCATAATATTCCAAAAATTAGTACGATTAATTTGTTCATTGGCAGAAGTTATTTCTGGGATTCAAAGAATGACGAACAGGTGGCAGCATGTTGCATCAACACATGAAAAAGGAAGCGGCGTCAGTGAAAAGATGGCCACCCCGTTGTCGACACGCGCTGCATTAGAGCAGCGATCTGCGATGCGCTTTTTTAGTAGTGCAGGTGTTAAACCAGCTGAAATGCATCGCAGGATGAAAGCGCAGTACGGTGATCCGTGTGCGTCTCTGCAGCAAGTGTACGAGTGGATCAGAAAGTTTAAAAGCGGTGTAACGTCGGTGGAGGATGCCCCGCGATCCGGACAGGCACACCGCGTAGTGACGAACGAGAACATCGCTGCAGCGGAAGCACTGGCGAACCAAAAACATAGGTAGTACTGTGGAGGCAAAAGCCACCATTTTAAATATTAGTGTTGGTTCGGCACACAATAATGTTCATATGATGTGCTGCGATTCCACAAAGTGTCAGCAAGATGGGTGCCACGTCAGTTAATTGCTGAATTGAGAGACCGTCGCGTCAATGCATGTGAGGCACTTCTTCGTCGTCTCTGTTTAATTTTAGAAGATAATTATTACAGGAAATAAAACTTGGGTGCACTATAACCAACCTGAAAAAATAGTCAAGCAAGCAATGACCCCAAAATTTATCGCCAGAAACAAAGACAAAATATTCGCACCTAATCATAAGCAGGAAAAATCATGGTCCCTTTATTTTTGATGTAAAATGGGTAATTTTGGAAGAATACATGGAAATGTAAGTAAGAGTGACGCGTACAACTTATGTAGATCCGTTAAAAAGTCACCTTCGCCCTTCAATCAGGAGTAAACGACGAAAGCTTTTGACTTCAGGTGCGGGGTTACAGCGTAACAACGTCAGACCTCATACTGCCCGTTCAGCGGCTGCGGCAATTCAGGATAGGAAATTTGGATGTCTGACACACCCGCCTTATTCGTTAGACATTTCCCCCTGTGTCTTTCATGTGTTCGGACGGCTCAAAGAAGCCATGGGAGGCAAGCATTTCGAAAGCGATGAAGTTGTGGAAATCGCGGTGCACAAGTGGGCTAGAGTCACAACCAAAATAATGTTTGTCACAAGTTGTCCTTGCACTTTCGGTGTAACACGTGCATTCCCCGTCAAGTGGACTACGTCGAAAAATAATGTATGTATATTTGTTTTCTATATTTCGTCCTTTGCCTTAATATAAGTAATTAATGTCTTCATTGGTTTCACCCTATGCTGCTTCCCCATGACGGATTTGAGTGTAATATAGTAAACATAATTTAGGAAATTGGATTATATAAGAAAACACTGACTAGTAACACCGCTCTAAAAAGTGCCAATGTCGATTTGTCCATAAAACAATTTCTATTAAAGACGCGCACATGGCACTCATGAATGAATTTGTTTTGATTTAGATCAGTATCGTACCGTCGCGCGGTTTTCTATCAAAACTCTGAGATACACGTCAAAGATCTTCAAGTTATCACTTTTACTGCACTGGCTACTTTTCTCATTTAGGGCGTAAGCCCTGCCGCCATACATTATCAGACAAACTTCGCGCTGTCTAAGTAGCTAGCGACTAATCTACTTTGTAGTTTGCTCTGCGGAAGCATCCCGAGCGTGCCGCTTTGTTTTACCCGTTTTTTGTTTCTGCTTTTCCCGAGGTGTATGTCTGTACTGAACGGCGAGCCCCATCAAGAATTGGACCAGGAAAACTGCGACCCTCTGAGCAAGCCGAGCGAGTCTGAAGAGTGCACAGTTCATTGTGCGGGGCAGTGCGTCGTCTCCGAGTGGTCTGACTGGTCCAAGTGTCTGGCAAGTGATCATCATTATACTTGTTAATCTTAACTAGCACACCCCCGGAAGTTTCTATAGGAAGAATTCACTGAATGCCGTATTCGTGATTGCTGTTCACAGCACAGTATCAGAGCTATACTTTGCTTCAGCTTAAGTCCACAGGCGGCTGACGCTACGAGGTAATAGGAGCAATCAAGCAGCGTCTTTCCTGTGCACGACTGTTCCAGCGATAACATAACACGTACATAAACATGACAAACACCATGATGGTGCGTTTTGGAAACTGATTGTTCCCATCAACTCGTAGTGTCGTCTGCGTCTGCACTTAAGGTTAAACGAAGTATGACTCTTATTTTTCGTCCACCAAGAACGACGATCCAGATTGGTTATGGACGGTGCACGCTGAACGCCCATAACCGGGAATTTCTCCGACAAAAAGTGCTTGGCAGAAGACAAATTGGGGCCAGTATTGAGCACACCCTGCAAAGACGTGCAACGTTATGGCTCGTTTAATTACCTTGTGATTTAAGTATGCTGTACCGAAATTTGCCAAGAACACCACTTAGTGATGTTTCTTGTTTCAACACAAGAAATAAAAATGGCTATCGGTATAATGCTCAATAGGTCAGGCAGTCTCAGTGGGAATAGGGTGGACGTCCTTTTGTTGTGAAGACTACACGTATAATGGGGCACGATTTCTCTCAATTTCTCATTAGTTGAAATGGTTGAATCGGTAGCAATAAATGGTTTTTGGAGTGCGTTGAAAGGAAGGTAACTCGCACTCGCATTTGAGATTAAGTGTGCTTGATATGTAAACTAATTTTTGGTTTTTGTGTGTGCATGTAGCAGCTGTGAGAGATAAATAAAACTGCGACGCATTTTTTTTTGCATTGCTGTTGCCTTTTTTATTTTAAGCTTCGTGGGTCTACGCTCCAATTCTGGCAATGCTTATAATTGAACCAAGCCTGTACGTAGCACTGCATGGTGTTTGTACTACAATTTATTTTTGATCTCGCTTGCATCCCAGGTTACTGACCATTTGGCGTTGACGTTTCTTTTAACAACCATCCTAGTTTTGTTTGAATACACACATATATTTTTCTTTCTAACTCTCTTGCTTCTTAAATGCCTGTTTCAGGACTCAAAGGCGGAGAATTCCACTCACCTCAGAAATCGCACAAGACGGATATTGCGCCAGCCCAGACTGGGAGATCAGTGTCCTTATCACCTCACAGAGACAGACGCCTGCCTAGAGTACAATTGGGTGGTCGAGGGTTTTGGCTCGTGCATTCCCAAGTACGGCGCATCGTGCGGAGAGGGCCAGTCTAAGACGCTGCTCTACTGCATCCGGAAAGCGGATAATCTTCGTGTGGACTACAAGTACTGCGATAAGGTAGGCAAATAAGGGGCGCTTAACATTTTTAACATATCGCGACACTCGAGTCTGTTAGCAGTCACGCTGAAATAAAATCGCAACTCACGGTTACCTACAAAGAGTTTCTAAAAACTAATATTCGTGAATAAAGAACTTATGTGGGCTAACTTTCGTTCGAGCTAAGTTCATGTTCGCAAGCCTATCCCGGTTGACTTTCATTTCTTTCCAGTTTTACTGAAAAATACGCAAATATTATTCATTAACAAGCCAGTAATTGTCTTTTCAAAGGAGGGAAAAGAGTACTTTTGTCGAAGACAAAGTTTTCGCCATTGGGAAAATTCAGATTTGCTATGTTGCGCAGGGCATGATGTTTCACGTGCTCTGTACCACATCTCCGTCTTTGTCCTTAGATCTTAGCATATTTTGGCCCTCGTTGTTCTCCAAATTCATTGCGTATTAATTGGCGCTTTGAGCGGTTTGAAGCAAAGTAGAAGCACGGGCCTATCTCCAGGGTCTAATAGAGAGAATAAATCGCTTGTTTTCGAACCGCATAAATAGACTATACATAGCCGAAAGCTGAAACTCTATGTAAATGTCGCACTAGTGGTGGTGAGAGGAAGCGAAAGTCTGAGATCATAACGTTGCCCAAATAAAAAAAAAACATAAAAATCTTCTTTTTTTTGTGAGCGGACGTTAATCTACGCTACGAAATGGCACTGTTGGCGTGTGTGGCATTTATTCAAAGAGAACGTGTAGCAAGAACGACAATATTAGGATTGGGCCAACTTGAACTAGCATTAACCGAACTTGAACTAGCATTACTAGGATTTGGCCAGCTGGACCAATCCTAGTAATGCACCAACTAGCTCAACTCATGCCCGTAAGACAATATAGATTGCTGTGTTTTTTCTTACTGAAATAAATACCAAAGGCGCCCACAGTGTCATATCTCGGTACGACAGAAGTAGTGCCTAGAGGCACGTCGTCTGATAAAGACAATTTGGCATTTCTATTGTATATTATTTTTTGCGTAACTTCACCGGCACATTCTTTTGCATTTTATCACCACCGCTATCGTCAGATTCATATAAAGTTGGAGCTTTCTAGGATACATATTTCATATATGTTTGTCAAAAAGAGGCGCTTCCTTTTCTCTATTGGACCCTGAAGAATAAAAGTAATATGATACGGCTGTATAGTACCGTATCTACTCGAGTAATAGCCGCACTGTTTATGAAGAAAACCTGAGGGTTCGCTTTTTCGCGGAGCACGAAGCTTGCGAATCACCGCGATCAACAACAGGAGTCCAGCGGTTTACAGGGCAGAGATAACGTGTTCGCTCGAAGATACCATCTGCGAAGATTGCATTTGTAAGGAGAATCCTGTTCTCGATCTAATTATTCACTGTTATTTATGCGCAACGTGATGATTGGTTGTATATATGCTTTGCGGGAAAGTAGACACAAGGACCTTGTTCATAAATAGTGCGGCTATTACTCGAGTAAATAAGGTACACTTGCTCATAATTTGTTTATACTGTGTTAATATTAGTCTGCTATTTCAGACAGTGCACTCATGTTAATGCTGTGAAAACATAAAATGAAAAAAAAAATGAAAGCCGCTTACGATTCCCTGTAACCCCGGTTAGAGCGCAGGTCTTGAGGAGGAGGATGGAAGCACACTGAGGGATAGGAGACTCCCTGAGGTCACGCGACCTCGGGGGGGAGGGGGTCGTGTGACGTCATGGGGTCACGTGACCTCGGGGGGGGGGGGATGGGGGTCACGTGACCTTGGGGTGGTCACGTGACCTCGCAATTACGCCGACGGCGACGCCGACGCTGACGCCGCTCTAGCCAGAAACGGGCCCCTAAGAGCTGCGCTCTAAAAAACACGTACATTGTACACGCGGCTTATGATTTCATCACAGATCAAGCCTTTGCGACTTTATGTTGCTAACCACTTTGTTCTTAGCCCGAGACTGAGGCAGGAAAAGAGGAAAGTTTCAAAGTAGAAGAAAAATGAGCAGTCGAGGACACGTCTCTACGTGTCCTCGACTGTTCATTTTGAAAAATGAACATTATCGGGCTAAGAACCAAATGGTTAACACCCACCAGCTCGCCTGCGCACTCACTGCATTATCATTTATGTTGCTCTTGTCTTCCCGCAGAACTCGAAACCTAGTAAAGAAACGCTCGTGAAAACATGCACAGTTCCTTGCCCAATTGATTGTCGCTTGTCGGAGTGGTCAGACTGGGAGACATCTGAGTGCGACACTTGCGGAACGTTCGGTAAGTTTGAAAAGTTTTCAAATCGAGGAAGACGACCAGCTCAACCAATTTTTATTGTCATTCTTGCAAGCCTAACCTAAACAAAGTATTTTTAAGGAACACCATGCACCTGTCTTTCTTACTGGTTGCGTGACAGCATTAAACTGAACGCTTTGATATACACTATGGTAACTTATATTTATAAAAAAAATAGAATGGTGGTCAATTGCAAGATATAAAACAGTGACATACATCATGCAAGACTTTATTTACACCGTTTGGTATTCGAATACACCATAGAACAGCGGCGACTTATTTATGTATACAACGTTTCTTTCTTTCGGGAGGCTAGAACCCATGGTAACCGCTGGATTTCTAGAAATCCGTTGCCTGTTTGTTGTATTCTAAATGCTATGTTTTATGTTTGGTGCACACAGAAATACCGTAATGTTACTCGAACTTTCCACATAAAAGAGTCTTTAGGATAAAAGTAATGCTCACTGCACTAGCACTAAAGGTTTTCAAGCATAGGCATAGGCGTGTGGTATCCTTACTTTTCTACACTTCCAGGCGACCAAGTTCGTCAAAGACAAATTATTCAGAACTCGAGCGATGCCGGGAGGCCTTGTCCCTCCAGCCTTGTCCAACGGAAGCCCTGTCCCTTCAAACCGTGCTACTACTGGACGATTGGAGGATGGTCCCAGTGTGACCTGCACGTAAGGAAACCATCATCATTAAAACTGGATAATTATTTATTGATTAGCCGCGCGGGACTGTAATGAATCTCGTTGTGGCTCACTAATTAAGTCAGCTGATTAATTATTTGCCTTACTTCGTACGTTAGGTGGCATTGCATAATGATACGCAGTCATGGCGTCAAACCCGTATGTTTGAGGCCTTTAATAAGCTCTCGTGGCCACATCAGAAGAAAACTTAGCATCGAAAATAAAAAGCAATTGTGCAATGAAGTCCGCATCAAACGTAATGAAGACTCTTATTAGTTCTATATTAATCGTGAACCACTGGTTTGTTCAAGGTTATACTTATTAATTTCTACTCTGACTACGCTTAATATTTTTTTTCGCATTCGTTAATTTTTTTTTTTATGTTGGAATGATACATTTGTGTGTTGTGTACAGTTGTTTTCAAAAAAGTTAATTTAATTTGGTAAGGCCTCGTACTACCCAGATTTTCATGCAAACACCGAGCTGCCATCTGTAGATTATGACTTTAGCTTTATATTTATTATGGAAGACATACAATTCCGACTTTTTAGAGAGAAAAATATTATTAAAGTATTAACTGATAAAAACTTGAAGTTCCTGCATTAACATCATTAGAGATGTTTTCATTTTTATTCACCTACAATAGACTGCAGGCCATTTGCAGTCCCAATCAGGATGGGAAATATAGAGTGACACTGCAGACAAGTTTACAACCGATAATGGCAACGCTATGACAACGTTTAAATAATTCATACTTCAGAAATATAGAGCAAGATGGATAATAATATATTTACACGTGAGCTTAAAATATATAGTTCAGAAAGCAGGCTGACGAAGAGAAATTGAATTCGTTTTATCAACTCTATCAACAGCCCGTATGCATTCAATCGTCCTCCTTCACTCAGCGCATTCGTGAGGAAGGCGACCGCTGTGGTGCAGTGAAGGCTCCTCAGCGCCAGTGGAAAAGACCCGCCCTGTGGCAGAAGCTGCGCGCGGTTCTATACTAATTAAAGGAATTCCCAATTAAACAAAAATAACTATATTAGATCAATTCGATTACGGAAATATGCTAAACACAGTCATTGTTCAGGTCGGCGTCGCCGCGATCTTGTCCGTTCGAGTTCCTTTGTTCGACTCTTCGCGCGTCCGGCGCTTTCCTCCTCCCGTCTTGCCCTCACCCCAGCCCCCATCGCCGCGCTGGGGCTGCTGGAGATGTCGGCTCGGGTTTCCCCGGCGCGTGCTTCGGAGGACGACAGCCGGAGTGGAAATGGCGTTCTGGAATCCACAACATCCTCCCCCCTCTCCCAGTGATGAGCAGAATTCGTTCACTGGGATAGTTCAAGGAGGAAGAGGAGCTGGACGGGGCGCCGAAGTGTAACCCCACCAGGCAGGCGCACCAAACACGAACGCACGTGGTTGTCCTGACCCCGCTGAACTTGTTCTATCCGCCCCATCCTCCACATGAGCCGTGGCGTTTTGTTTTCATGGACGAGGACGAGATCCCCGTCCCGCAGGTCGTTCGTGCGTGTCTCTGTTGCCCGGTGTGCTGAGCGGAGCTGGAGGAGGTACTCCTTTTGTCACCTCCCCCACTACTGGTCCAGTAGTCTTTGTCGGTGCCGCCACCGTCTGGTGACGTCCCCCCTTGTTGAAACTGGCACGTTCTCCACGCTGGTCGATGGGAGCGCCGTCAGCCGCCCCCCCCCCCCTTCCCCCCCCCCCCCCCCCCCCCCGACAAAAAGTGCGCAGGCTTCAACGCCTCCTGCTCGTGTGGAGCGTCGTGAACGGGAGCCAGGGGTCGAGAATTTGCGACGGCTTCAACTTCTTGTAGTATGGTCGTCACTTCTTCGAATCCAAACTTGTCCTTTCCGAGTATCACTCGTAGGCTCCGCTTCACTGTCTGTACCGTCCTCTCCCAGAAACCGCCCCACCACGCTGCTCTTTCGGCAATAAACCTCCACTTGATACGATTTTGTATGCAGTGGTCCAGGAAGTGTGGGTTCCTTAGCACGTCCCACATGCCGCACAGGTCCTTTGCTGCCCTCTTAAAGGTGAGGGCGTTGTCCGTGTACAAGACGCTCGGTAGTCCCCGACGTGCAGTGAACCGCTGAAAGGCCATAATGAAGGCCTCAGTCGTCAGGTTGGAAACGAGTTCCAAGTGCACGGCTCGTGTAACGGCGCAGGTAAACAGAGCGATGTAGGCCTTTTGGTCCGACGGTGAAGCGTTCACCAGTAGTGGTCCAGCAAAGTCAATTCCCACCACCTCGAAGGGGGCGGCCCGGTTGACGCGCTCTTCCGGCAGCGGAGCGGTCGGTGCGGAGGCTGGCCTCAGTCTTGCTCACCGGCAGGCGTTGCAACGGTTTATTACTTTCCTGGCGAGCTGACGCACACGTGGTACCCAGTAGCGTTCACGTACTTCGTTTAAGGTATCTTGGACACCACCGTGCATCGTCCTTCGGTGTGCGTCGTTCACAATAGTCCAGTGAGGGGGTGAGATGGCGGTAATAACAGCGGATGTCTGACTGTCACATCGGTTTGTGCATTCTGAAGCCTCCCACCGACCCTCACTCGTCCATCCGCATCTACAAAGGGCTTCAGTAACGCGGTTTCGCTGTTCGTGCTTCGGGTTCAACTCGCGGTGCCCATTTCCGCTCTGTATGCTTCTTGAGCCTTCACAATCCAGTAATTCTCGGCTTGCTCGAGCTCCTCCGCAGTAAGTGAACCCTCAGCTCGTTCTTGCTCGTTTTCACTATTCTTGATGAAGCGAAACATCCAGGCGGTAACCCTGAGGGGTCTCATTATGCGACTGTAACTGCTCAGATTTAGGAGCTCCGGCCCCTTCACCTCTGCAGTGTGCAGCACGTGGTGTTCTTTCTTTCGCTCCTCTTGCAAATCTGGGATGCTGTCGTAGAATATCTGACCCTTAGGCCAGATGCAAGGTTCTGTTGAAAGCCACTCAGGCCCTTGCTACCACTGTTCGCTTTCGATCAATGTCTCGGCGCTAATTCCCCTCGTCAGCATGTCCGCTGGGTTCTGACTTCCAGGACAGTGGTTCCAGCTTGCGGGGTCGCTTGCGGACTGAATCTCATTCACCCTGTTTCCTACAAACGGCTTCCACTTTGAGGCTTGTCCTCTAATTCAGTGTAGTGCAATAGTCGAATCCGTCCGATAGAACGTCTTCATCTGGAGATTCATTGTGTCGTTCAGATGGCGGGCAAGACGTGTCCCAATCACCGTTCCCATTAGTTCTAGACAAGGGAGTGTCAGTCGCTTGAGCGGCGCCACTCGTGACTTCGCGAGCACGAGGCATGTAGACGTGTCTCCGTCTTCGCCCTCCACTCGAAGGTAGCGCACGACCCGTAGGCGAGTAAGCTTGCGTCGCGAAACACATGAAGTTGAACCGACCTGGCGCCTTCTGCTGGGCATGACCCGTAGGCGAGTAAGCTTGCGTCGCAAAACACGTGAAGTTGAACCGATCTGGCGCCTTCTGCTGGGCACTGCATGGTGCAGCGGCCGACGGCCAGAGCCTTCAAGAGTGGCAGTTCTATGCACCACCGCTGCCACAGCTCGGAAAGGTCGTCAGGCAGCTCCGCATCCCAGCCGATTTCACGTTCCCACAGCTGCTAAAATATGATCTTGACCCGAATCATGTACGGAGTGATAAGGCCCAGGGGGTAGAAAACTCGATCCGATGCCTGTAGCACAAAACGCTTGGTGTTTGCTGTAGTGCTGACGAAATGCAATACTCCTTCCATGGGAATCAGCAATTTGTCTTGGTTGTGCTGCCACACGAGTCCGAGAACCTTCCTTGGTTCTTGGGATGCTTGTGGTTCCTCGGTCTCATCCAATCCACACTGTAGTTCCGCAGCATTGGACGTCCACTTGCGGAGTCGCATTCCGGCTTCAGCCATGATTGCGTTGGCCTCATCGTGAATCTGTCTGGCTTCACCAACGTCGGAGGCTCCGATAAGTAGGTCGTCCACGTAAAACGCATTCCGCAAACGATCAGCTGTCTCCCTGTGTTGGTCCTTCACGTTATCCAGGTGGTGCATTAGAGTCGCGGTCAATAGAAAGGGGCTTGAGGTGGTCCCGAAAGGCACTCTGGTCATTCTCCATTCTTCGATGTTTGCTGCTGCTCCTGATGTTGGCTTCGTTTCGAAATACAAGAATCGGAGAGCATCTCTGTCCTCTGTGCGAACGCCTATCTGCAGAAACGCCTTCTCAATGTCAGCTGTGATGGCGACCTGAAATAGCCTGAATCGCACCAAGATTCCCACCAGGTCGGCGTTAAGCTTGGGGTCCTTTTCCAGATGTTCATTCAGTGGGCTGCATCCCGGCCTATGTGATGACACATCGAACACGATCCGGAGTCTCGTGGTGCTGGAGCAGCTGCGTACTACTGCCTGGTGTGGCATGTAGTAAACTCGTTGAGTGTCAGCTTGAGGTGCCCGCTCGGGCACCTTTTCCGCATGCCCTGCCATCATGATGCACTAAATAAGAAAACAATATGCACAAAATCCACTTCAAACTTTTAAACTTTTTTTTTCCTGCATAGAAGTGCCTGTTTTGTTTTTTCGCCTTTAAAATGTTTCTGTTAACGTTTCCTGTCTGCCGATCTGCCGATAGGGGGCAGGGGCTTTGTCAAGCTGCACATTTTGCAGCTTTTTTCCCTGTCTCCGTCACCCATATGTACAAATGGGAGTAAATATATTAATTGAATTGAATTGAATGTAGTTCCTGATGGATCGGTCGTACACATCAAGAAGCTGCTCGTTGCGGGATAGTCGTTTAAGGAGCCCCTCCAGTCGTTTGTGAGCCGTGACTCGATTGTCTTGGAGGTCTGGTCCAGTCTCTTCCCACGGCAATGCAACTTCATAACGTCCGTCTACCTTCGTGATTGTGCGTTCAAACTGGCGTTTTACAGCCTCCAGTTCCTCGCTGTTGGTTTTCGGCTCATCCGTAATTCCGAGGCTATCGAGCTCCCAAAAGCGACG